CCTGCCGAAGCCAAATCTCATGATCGGAATCGTCCCTTCGACAAGCTGTCATGCAAGTTCAAAACAAAAAAGAGGAAAAGTTCCTCACCGATTCAGTCTTTTCCCAACGTTCGACATTCAGCCACCAAAGCAACTTGTAGTTGATAGGATAAGAAACGCGAAACGCATCACGCATCACCATCGTAAACGACCACCTCGGCAATCTTCCGACACACATCACACAACGCAAAACACCACAACACATCACAACACATCACAACACCGTGAGCCTAGTCACAAAACGGATACCTGCATCTGAGGTCCCGCCACGTGTGTTTCTAAAACTGTATCGCGTACCTGCGCCAATCGTCCTGTCCTTCATTGCCGCCGCCGTTCTTCGCTTTTCACATTGCCGCCCTGGACGCCCTTGAAATTTTGGCGGGGACGGTTCTCCTACGGTATCTCTACAGTCCTACAACAAGTCCTATGGTAGAAGGTCAGTATAACGCTGCCTACCGGTACATACTGCTGGTCGCCAAACGGCCCACGACCACGGTCCACGGTGGCTAGGTTGGCTAGGTAGGCTCGGAAGCGAGTGTCTCGGATTCTGTAAGTTTTTGTCTTAAGTGGTTATATTGGCTTTTTTGGTCTCTGTTCATGGGTCCATATGCATGTACGTTGATGGTTCAAACCTAAAGTCTCGGAAATGAGGAACGGGGAACTGCATTTTCCGAGACGGGCGGTTCCCGACTGAAAAAAAGAACCCAAGCAAGGGAACGAATGGAATAGACGGAGCAGGAGAAGTGGGAGACTGATTGTTCCGCCCGTCGCAGTATCAAGTGTCAAACTATCACGAGAATCCTTACCATGGTGTTTTTTTTGGTGTTTTGGTGTTTTGGTCGCCAAAGTTGGACGTGTGGTTGGTTGGGACGAGTGACGTCATGACCGTTGAGACTCTCATGCCATGGATGTGCCAAGCCTTGGATGCCAAGCCGCATGGCATGGACCAAAGCAGGTACGCTGAATGATAGAGCACTAACAATCGCGCGCAGTGTCTTGAAGACAGGATGGATAATGGTGCATCACGACTACAGAAAGGTACCATGCGGTTCATGAACGAGCAAGTATGCAAAACAATATTGCATAGCACAAACATATAGGTAAACGGCTTTGTAATAGTGTATATGATATCTGTACCATAATACCACTGTAATTCCTTAATGACAATTGTTTTGCTGTTGTCATTGTTGCTGTGCTGTTGTTGCATATGTGCAAAGTAGGACCAAGTAGGCAGGGATCACAAAGTGAAAGTACCGTATAATCTCTAGAGATTGAGGTTTGGGTAAACACTGCTCCTGTGCAGGTGTAAGGGGTTCAGCATAGTTGACACAGATGCTGGCCAAAAGAATCGATAAGATTCTACGAAGAGAGAAGAGGAGAAAGGGACGCCCTCTGGGCAGTCTGGCCGGCTGTCCTAAAGAAGAGACGTGCGCGCGCACAGGCCAATGCTGCCGGCCGCGAGAGTGGAACACTCGCCTGGCAAGATTGCCAAGCATTTCAGCCACGGGCACTAGCCCTATGACAGCAGGTATGTCCTAAATCTATATGAATATGTGCTTTTTTTTGCCTGGATAAAACGGTGGGAGATATACCTACAAAGCTCAAGGTAGTGTAAACTCCATTTTTCTAGGGCCTTGTTTTTCTCTCTATTTTTTTTTCACTCTGTACAATCATCTCTTGCAAAGCACCCTCGTAATCTATCTATAGTAGCCACAACTAAATAGAAGTTAATTCTGGGTACTGTTAATTTCGTTTGTGAGTAAATAAATTTATAGTATTGAAGCTCTCTTTCTCTTTTTCTCTCTTTTATTAACTAGCTTACTTTTTTTTTACAAATATAATAAATGATTACTTAAAGTAATAATAATTTGTTGAATACGCTAATTACGTTATTGTTTCGCAAATATCCATATTTCTCAGCTATCTAGAAGGTTTAACCTTTATAAATATAGATAAAAGAGTCTACTATATTTAGATTCGTAATGGAAGCGGTTAGAAAATCAAAACCAAAGTTAGATTTAAGGGCATTAATATTATAAGGCTGGTATCACAACGGTGGCAGACTAGTACACTAACCAGACTATGTCTTTACAAAAGGATATTGTAAGGGTTCTACGAGGTATACACACAAGTAGACCTTGGTGAAAGTGATAATATTCGACAAAGAGGAAAAGGGAAGTCTGTGCCAGTATGGCACGGAGCTTACAGCTAAATACACAAGAGAGGTGCGTATATCGAAGGTGCTAGAAACGCCAAGGTCGAAAATGTGGTTCGTGCGGCATACCCCAGGAGTGCACCCAGTCAGAAGGCAGGCCTGGCTTTCATAGAGTTCAAGCCAGGCAAACACCCCTAGGCGCCAGCCCCATGACAGATATAAGTAACCAAAGCTGGCAGTTTGATCGCTCAAGTGGTCTTATATAGTTGCGACGGATGATCAGGCCGTCACAATTCATAGGTTTGGCTGTCACTGGTTGTCGCTTGTAGTCTGGGTATAAAGCTCAGCTCTGACATCGAGCCTTCTCTTTTGGGATTTCTTCCCTCTTCAGCTTCTTATTCTTAGTCCAAGTTAATCAAATCGTACACAATGTGCCCTCCGGTTACGCTGTGACAGAAGGCGGTTACGACTAGTAGAACCAACGCATATATCTTAATTCACAATGTCATCGTTTCATAACTTCCTTTTCTTCTTTACAATTAATATTACTTTGATTTGTATCTCCTAGTCTTACAGTCGTATCTCTTGTAGGAGCACGCTTTCGCAGTAGCTACTTTATAGTTATAAATATTGTAGTATCTTTATTTAATGAAGTACTTGTTGTTATAATCCTATGCTCTATAATAATACTATTGTAGTTGTGAGCGATTTGTATATTCAATTGTAACAGGCATTTTTACTTGTACTATATAGGCATAAACCTGCTAGTATCAACAATTAGTTCAGTTGTTTAAAATTTATATTGTATTTTTTATATAGATTTTAAATATCTAAAAATAAGTTCCCTCTACTTTTATAATAGCAACCTTCTATTTTACTACTTTATAACAGTAGTTAATAGTTTTAAGATCAGTTTTTTTATTAGTGTGATTCTTTTCTAAAGAATAAAATAGTGATAGTATTTTTAATAGTATTAGAAGCGGTATTAGTGCAATAATAATTGAGGGCAGTTTCCCTACTAATAGAGGTTTTTAATTATATTAATAGCAATGGAAGGTAATATGTGACGAACGGCAGTCTGATCTGCTTAAGTGGGATAGTTGAAGGTGACGACTATCAGTGCTGTTCGGTGAAGCTAGAGAGTTCACAACAAGTATGTCTGCAATACTGGTCTCGGTGATAATAATCTATTAACTACTGTCGAACTATTTGACAATCTGAGTTATCCCGTAGTCCCTTTATACCTGCTCGCCCTCTGCGAGATATCTGTCTCCGGATGCTCGTGTCGAGCCCCATAGGTCTATCTAATGCGTGGTGGCTCACGATGCCCTCCTGGCTCACTGTGAGCTCGTTACACGGGTGAGCCCGTGCGTGTGCCTCTTTGTCCTTGTTGGCCTGGGAGGGTGACACGACCTAACTCGTTTAGGCCGGTTGTACTACCGGCGCTGTGGTTGGTCCGTGTATCCTCATAAGTTCGTAACATAATAGCTGTAATGGCAGCCTTGCAGTTGTGCCTCTCGACTGCTATCACAACTATATAAGACCACTTGAGCGACCGAATTGCCAGCTTCAGTTAGTTGTATCCTTTTGGAACATAGCCTAGTGATGTAGTGGTCCGCCAGCGCCGTGACAATAGCGATAGAAAGTAATAGCAATGGAAGGTAATGGTAATGGAAGGTAATAGTAATAAGACTATTGATACTAGAGATAATAATAGCAAACTTTATAAAGTAGGAAGGATGAAGGTGGGCGAATTAGGATAGAAGAATTAAAGTACTATAGTCTGGCTAGCTGAACGGTGGGGCACTAGAAACTACCCTTCTTCAAAAAAGCTACAGGTGGTATATATACTGTATTATATGCTTACAACTACACAGAAAAGATGTTTACCCGAACCTCAATCTCTAGAGATTATACGGTAAATAAAGCATGGATGTTGCGCTCAGGGATAAAAGAATTCGCAAGAGCACAGGGGCAGTAGGTAGAGACGAGACGAAGCTATAAGGTAAATGAAAGGCAAATCATGTCCATTGAAACTTGCGAGGGAATGTTCATAGGTTGTAAGGTTCAAGATATAAGATATGTTTTGCTCTTATAAGCTTTTTTAGCTGTATTTCGGAAGAGTGTCGATTGGGACAGTCGGGGTTTTGTTAGGAGCAGTGTGTTTTCCTCGCTGGCGACTATTCACAACATGACGATTTGGTAGTGACGAGCCAATGCCAATCCACAGTACCTGAAACGGAAGAGATGGCACAGCGCTGAGGGGCCTTTTTGTTTGATCAATAATGACACATTACTACTACAATATCTACTTTCTAATATGACGCTCAACCGATGCTATCCATCCCTTCTGGAAACTCCAAACACAGGTGCAAAGTACCAGTCCTTAATCCCAGAAGTTCCGCTCTTAGTAACGCCCAAGTATTGTAATAGCAAACCCCTGCAGATCCATCGAGTCCAAACCTGAGCCTAATATCCCGTGTGAATGTCTATCCGACCTGCCAATACGGTGTGTCCGTGACGCGTGACCTTCGCTCATGAAAGAAAAGGGAAAAAAAGAAACAGCAAAAGGACCGTGTCAAGAAAGAAATGGCAGAGAGGATGGGAATAAATGACAAAGAGGGTGGGAAGAAATGCAGCCAGGCTAGAACCAATGCTCTGTGTGCACTTGTAAGCCAGAACAGAGCCAGTATAAGGGTCCTAGCTAGGTATGGCCCGGCTTCTAAGACATGTCTGAAAAGAAGAAAGGTATACAACCTTCTTCTTGCCAAACGGAAGCCCTTCTTACCACACCACCTTTCATCATCTACTCCTCGCCGCCCTTAAGGTTCACCATACCCTGCCATTCTTCCTCAAGTCTCGATTTCTCCTTATCGGCACTCATCTCTCTCAGCCTGATCTCCTCCCCCTTGACCAGACTTCCGACTCCAGCCTCTCCGCTCGGACTCTTAAACGGGCATCTCTCCAACAGCGCATCGTCACCTCTGGTATGAGTCCTAGGGAAACCAAATCCGGTACCGCGTTTGAAACCGATAAACTGCTTGCCGCTCAACAGCTGCCAGACCATCCAATACACGTCCTCAAGGCACGGATCACCGAGATCTGACCATATGGGCGCCGGCTCACCGTAGTACCTCGGCGGGTCGTCGACCGACCAGTCAAACATGACTGGCATCGCACGGCAGCGTGTCTGCAGGGAATTGTTGTACTGCTTTTTCTCGTGCTCCGAAATGGCTGAACAGCTAAGGGGTAAATGGCCGTGATCAGCCTTCCACTTGGCTACGCGCTCCTCGAAGGGCGGGCAAACCCATCCGCCGTGACCGAGCAGGGTAGCGTGCCGCTGGGAAGAAGGGGGTCCGCTGAAGCCGTTGTCGTTTTGGGAATGCTCGGTGGAGACGGCGACGACGCGGACGGTGTAGATAGAGGAGCGCTTCTTGCGGGCGACAAAGGAACCGTCCAAATCGGGGGTGCAGAGGCGGTTGAGAGTGTCATGGCCTAAAGCAACGGAAGAGTGATGATGGTCCCGAGGGTTCTGGTTCTCCTTGGAGATTGAGGACTCGGCTGCTTGGTCCTCATCGCTGTCGGGCGAATATCTGATGGGAGAAGAGGGTGGGGAGGGTGAACGCGATGGAGTTCCAGGAATGACGATCTCGCTCAGGGTAGTGTCGCCTTCATAGTTCTCTCCTCCGCCGTTATCTCCGGCTTCGCCCACAATGTCATCGCTCATAATGGTGTCGCCCTCGTCATCGATGCTGTCAAAGCTGGTGCTATGCGGAACAAGGGGCTTGCTGCGAGGAATACCTGTGCCGATGGGACGATCAGGGTCGGGCTGGGGTGATCTTGAACTGAAGCGGTGCGGAAAACTTAGACGCGGTGATTGAAGAGCTTGAGCTGTTGATGGGCCGGCCACGATGCCCTGTTCAGACTTGGAGGTGGCTGTCTTTCTACCAGACAGCTTGAGCGGAGTCCAAAGAGAATTAGAAGGAGAGTTGACAGCGGCAGTAGGATCGCGGATGTCAGTGTCTTCGGATCCGACGTGGACATTCTTTGGGGTGGCATCTCCATCACCGCTGCTTGCAGACGACGAGGTGTTGGCAGGAGGAGTAGTCGGCAAAGGTCGGCACCTGTTCATATTAGTCAAGGCCAGCGTCGCATTGTCTTCGAGCTCCTCGTTGTCACGCTCCTCCGAGGGACTCCGAGGAAAACCAGAATGGGTGCCGGCAAGTGAGGAGAGGAGCAGCTTCTTTGGCTGGACAGCAGACACTCTACCGCTGTTTGAAGAAAGCGAGCGCTTATCCCCACCCTGGGTGGGAGTTTCCTTCACCATACCCATACCAATCCAGACTTCGTTAGGATTCATTCCCAAGTTGCGGATGACTTGGTCATCCTCACCAGAGATGTGTTTGATCTGAATTTCCATGTAATACTCTCGCTGGCCGTTGTCGGTATACAACCAGTCACCGAAGAACATGGCTTTTCCCCACTGTCAAGGTAGGATGTTAGCAGGTAATTCCAGATGGCCTAAGGCTGCGTGACAGCATAACCACGTTATATTATTTGTGGCACTTACCTCCACCTTGGAAGCCAGGCCATTACCCTCCTCGTATGCCCAATCCAGATGCATGATGCTCTGGTTCTCAACTTCTTCATAGAACATGATATCCTGGTGCTTCCTCTCAAGGAGGGTCATGACCTGTCTGAAATAGTAGCCACCCAGATCGGCGTTACTCTTGGGGCCCTTTGAGCGCAGGCTGATTGGAATCCTATTGCCGCCATCGCTGCCGGGGGTTTCCGCTCTGTACTCGTGATGTTCGATCTCGACAGAAGGTTGGGGAGCCGGAAGGCGGGTCATTCCAGTGTTGGCAAGCTCACTGTCGTCTCGGGTAGGTGAAGTGGGCGGCGCCGCGACAAATAGCTCGTCAACATCGACCCAGGCAGTATCTGAACCCTTAGTGTCCTTGACTTCGGCTTCATCGTCAGAATTGTCGCGAGGGGGCGGCGTCTGCTCTCTGGTGCGTGACCGCGGGACGCGAAGAGGTGTCACCTCTGCAGAATCCTTACTCTCCGATGCACGAGAGGACTCCATCACGACTTTGTTGTGTCTCCGGCGGCTTGGGGATTTTGAATATGTCAACTCCTTGAGGGTTTCCGTAGTGTGGTTAAGTTGCAATGTTGCGGGTCGATATCAGTCGAAAAAGTTTCGAAAAGGGTTGGTTTTGTGGCGGGGTAGTGAGGAAGACGCAAGCAAAGGCGGTCGATGGAAAGCTGGCGCAAACGTGGCAAACGCGGGCGCCTGGAGGTGAAGGGTGGCCCGCGTTTCCCTCAGTTTCCAGTCACCTAGGGAATGGCTCCGGGCGACTTGCAAGGTCCGTCAAATACCCCGTGCCGAACCATCGGCACGCTGACAGAGGACGCGGGTGACGCGGGTGACGCGGATGACACGACTAGACCTATTTGTTTATCTGTTTCCTCCCGCCCCAGATACCGTGTCTTGTTGTCGATGCTGGAAGTCTGATGCTGGCTGCAGAGCCGCAAGTCGAAGTTCACCCAGAAACTTTGGTAACTGTATTAACTCGTTTCGATTCCTCCGGACAGTTTACCTTTCGCATAATCTGATCCCTGATTTGGCTTGGATGTGAACTAACCAAGAAGATCCAGACCAAAGGTGAAGATGTTCAGAAACTTGTGCTTCCTGAAAATATTCCGCGAAGGTGGAGTTGCGGCATCAAGATGCGCATCCTTCACTCCCGAAATGTGCAGTTTTGAGTTTGCACATGGACGAGACTTCAGTGGCAACGATATGTATCAGCGAGAACAGCTAACACTAACTGGCCAAGTCAATAACATGTCCATTGATACTCTGATATGGTGGCGACGAATAAGAACATACCTGGGCTAACGGGGATGCGTCTAAGTGATGTTCTCTGTAAGAATATAGAGAGTAATGTTACTGAGATGAACTATTCGTCATATCCTCAACAGCGATGGGTTTGTCAGCTGTTCCAAAGAATGAAAAGCCAGGAGGCTCTATTGAAGAGTTTGGCATTGGAGCCCCAAGAACAACAAGTGGAAGTTGCACCCCGACCAAAACCCAAACGCCGTTCTCCTCGCAAAGAGGAAGGTGCGGCTGGGATGGATATCAACCGAGACACCCTCCATGCCTATCTCGGCCTCTGCAGTTCGCACTTGCGTTTGAAGACCTCCATTGGTGTAGAGCTCTTTCCATTCCTCCCATGACTGACAAAGAGTGACGCAGCGTTCTTGCCGTTCAGTTACACCTCATTCGGACTCCATCGACGGTCACCAGGGGCAGCCAGAACTTTCACTTGATAAAGGTACCCTAGAGAACCGGAAGAGTGTCTGTTTTGTCGGGCATGTCTGAAAGTCCAACATCACATGTCGGCGCATTTGCAACACCAGGACTGTTTTATTTTGGCAATTGCTCATGGACAGTTTGCTTCAAAAGAAAAAAAATGTCTGCATATGTGTTGTAAATAAAGTTGGAGACAACTGCCACCTCTCACGTTGAGAAACTGTATTGTCGGGAGATGCAGAGAAGGAAAAAGTCAGATGTATAGAGTAGGCAACCGGAAGACAAAGGAAGTAAAGGAACCAGATAGTCTCGCAGAAACGTCTCGTATAAAACCTAGCAGACCCACGAAGAGCACCGTACTATCCCATGGCGTTCTAGTACAAATGCTGCATTGACCACGATGGGCTGGACGTCTGAGCGTAAGGCATGAAGGACACTTGACACCGACCACACAGAACGGAGTCATGACTCCCTAACCTTCCACTTGGCAGGCAAGGCAGGAAAATTAGCATTGGAAGTGAGTGTGTGTGCATCATGAAACGGTTCAACCAGGAACGAAACAAGCTGGAGGCGGTAGTTTACTTGGAACTTTGAGTTGGCCCTGGAACGCTTCAGCGCGATGGAGCATCGAGGGAAGTGGTGACGGTGTGGGACAGGTCATGACGGAATGGATGACCTATATTTGTTAGGAGATACATTATGATCCTTTTGGTCGAGGTCGCCTCCCGGTCCGCTATCCTAGTTGTCTCCCGTCCTGAGCGTCGTCGGGGTCCTACGAAGGTCGTTGACGTTGACGTTGACGTTGACGTTGACGTTGACGACGAGGCGAAATCGGGCGGGGCCCTGTCCGCGACTTGGCACGCCGCTGACTGGTCCACGCCGCGGCTCAAACGAGAGACAACAAAGCCTAGAACTCCGGGGGCCCACGACCTGTTGGAGATGTTTGGAGATCGGCTGGCCGCTGTGATAGGGCGCGTTAACATCTGATAGGCTCGTCCTGGTCCCTACGGGGCTTAACGGTACCGTCACTAACGACTGTCACCCAATGTCACCGAAAGTTTGAAGGGAACACGGCCCCACGGCGGGGTAGCGCCGTTCCATGTTCGGCCTCCTCGAGGTCTCCCGCTGAAATCTGGAATTCGGGTGAGACGAAGGTCTGAATCAGCGAACGGACAACCGCCGCGAATGCATGGATCCTCCCAAAAATAATGAGATCGCCCAAACAAACGGCGAACGACTCCGTCCTTGCCGTCGCGCTGGAATACCTTACCTCTTATGTGTTCGTGTACGAAGCCGTATTGCCCACATACCGGTACCTCTTAAGGTAGGTCCCCTCAGCTCCCGTCTGCTGGTCGGGTAGGTCAGGTAGGTGGCCAGTGCCTGCCCGTGCCAATGCCAATTGACTGTATGGATGCTGCAGTGAGATGTTGAAAGAAATAAAAAACCAAAAAAACCGAAACCACAATACCTGTGGAACCGCCCCCCGTATCGTAACTTTCTTCGCGTCCTTCTCTGCCGTTCTCCATCGTCCTACCTACTTTTCCTCCCTTTCTCCTAACCCACCTCCCCCCCTCTCTTTTCCTTCTCCCTCTTCTCACTCCCTCCCCCCCGTCAACCGCATTCGCACCGCCTTTGCCAATTCCTTCCCTGAGGGTGCTTCTCTTCTCCATCGTTCCCGTTCCTGAATTCGGTCGATTTTATTCTTCTTGGATCTCCACCACGGCGTGTGCCCTTTGTTCCCTCGCCGTCGTCCAAAGCAACATCGCATTGTTTGTCCCATCGTCACGGTCTCCCTTCGTTGGCAACCTGCGATTCAAGATCTGATATCTTCCGCCTCCCGCCCCCGTCCCTGAGTCGCTTTCCCAAACACCAACCACCTAGGACTCAGCAAACAAGCGTCGCTTTGTGTTGCATCTGCTAGTCGAGTTTCTACCTTTGCGCAATCACCATTGTTGTGTTGCGCCAGACCGATACTCTTCCCCCACTCCGCCACCCTTCGCCAACACTCAACCAAAGCTTACGAGCTTCGCCTCTCGCAGCTTCGACATCAAGCGTGACCACTTCGAAAAAGGTCCGCCTCTTGCTCGCAGCGACGACTCCAGTCCCCCGGGAAAAAGGAGCCAGGTAACGAAACGAAAACCCACACCGCTTTCTGCACACCGCGATCACCTGTGACTTTCGCTAGTCATGGCCAGTCCGTTGCAGTTCGCCTACCGAACCCAGAAGGCCATCGGCGTCTTTGATGCCGACCCTGTCTACGAAGCCCTTCCTGGATTCACCAAGCCCGCCGAAGGGAATCTCCGGTGCTGTGTCTACTCGGGATGCGGCCGCTACTTTGCCTACGCCACTAACGAGGGCGTCGTCATCGTCGACGCGTCCGTCGGCCACGTCTTGACTTCGCTGCCCATCACTACCGTCTACGATCTCAGCTTCTCCCCCCACGGTACCTACTTGAGCACCTGGGAACGCCCCGCCAAGGATGAGAATGGCGATGCGACCAAGAACCTCAAGATCTGGCGCACCATCGAGGAGCTCGCCGATGATGCCGAGAAGCAGCCCATTGGCAAGTTCGTCCAAAAGTCTGCTAACGGCTGGAACCTGCAGTACACGGAGGACGAGCGTTTCTGCGCGCGCATCGTCACCAACGAGGTCCAGTTCTACCAGAGCGACGATCTCGGTACCGTGTGGAACAAGCTGCGCGTTGAGGGTGTCTCCGACTTTGCCCTCGCGCCCGGCAAGAACCAGAACGTTGCCGTCTTTGTTCCTGAGCGCAAGGTATGTGTTCTCCGCGCGAAATTGCACTTGGATCTTTATTTAACTCTTGGTTACAGGGACACCCCGCCTCCGTCAAGGTCTTCAACGTTCCCCAGTTCACCAGTCCGATTTCGCAAAAGACTTTCTTCAAGGCCGACAAGGTCCAGCTCAAGTGGAACCAGCTCGGAACTGCTCTGATTGTGCTGGCGCAAACAGAGGTTGACAAGTCCAACAAGAGCTACTACGGCGAGACCAACATGTACCTCCTGAGCGCCAACGGCTCGTTCGACGCTCGCGTCACTCTTGACAAGGAGGGCCCTATCCACGACGTGTCGTGGTCTCCCAACTCAAAGGAGTTCGGTGTTGTGTACGGCTACATGCCCGCGAAGACCACCATCTTCAACCATCGTGCCGTCGCCACCCACTCCTTCCCTCTTGGTCCCCGTAACACCATCATCTTCTCGCCTACTGGCCGGTTCGCCTTGGTTGCCGGTTTCGGTAACTTGGCTGGTCAAATCGATGTTTACGACCTCGAGAAGGATTACCGCAAGATCACTACCATTGAAAGCGGCAACCCTAGTGTCTGCACTTGGTCTCCCGACAGCCGTTACATCTTGACGGCCACCACTTCTCCCCGTCTTCGTGTCGATAACGGCATCAAGCTCTGGCACGTTGGTGGCGGCATCATGTATAACGAGGACATGGTTGAGTTGTACAACGTCATCTGGCGCCCTGTTCCTGCTGCCAGCCTTCCCAACGTTGACCCGCTGCACCCCATTCCCACTCCTCACCCTTCGGCTTTGGCCTACCTTGGTACTGTCAAGACGCCTTCCAAGCCTGTCGGTGCTTACCGCCCGCCCGGCGCCCGCGGTTCTTCCACTCCTCTTCACTTCAAGCGTGAGGATGAGGGAGGTGCTGCTCACTCGGTTAGCAACGGCGTGCCTCAGGTCGGTCCTAATGGGTTCGGCCGCCCGCGCCGTCAGATCCCTGGCGCCGAGTTTGCCGAGCCGGCGAAACCTTCTGTTCCTGGCGCCGTTGTGGACGATGAGAACTTGTCCAAGACTGCCCTGAAGAACAAGAAGAAGCGCAACAAGAAGACCAAGGAGGCGGGTGAGGGCGCGACTACTCCTAATGAGGGTGGTCTGGCCCCTCCCCGCGAGTCTGGCGACGGCCGCAGCCCCGATCGCAGCCACCAGCGTCACCACTCGCGCAGCCAGTCGCGCAGCAACAACCTGGCTGTCCGCACCCAGAACAACCACCGCAGCCGCTCGAACGTGCGCCAGTCTCCTGCTCCTGCTCAGCAGGTTGCCCCGGTCGTTGACGCCGCCACAGCGGCTGCCCAGAGCGCCAATGCCAAGAAGATCAGGTCTCTCCAGAAGAAGATCCGTGCCATTGAGGACCTCGAGATGAGGCATGCTGGTGGCGAGAAGCTGGAGGATACCCAGCTGAAGAAGATCGCCACCAAGTCCTCCGTGATTAAGGAGCTGGAGGCTCTGGAAAAGGAGGGTCACTAAGCGTAGGATGTCTTGTGTCGGGAGATAGAAGGTTGAGGGACGGATGGGATTAGAGTAGTGGTTATCAAGTTGGGTAGTTGAGAGTTGCCTTGCGGAACTCAAAATACGTGTTTTGCTACGGTCTCCTTCGCTCGATTGCCCAGCATATGTGAGCTTCGAGGCCAGTGCTGTGTGGTGGCCATGACGATGATGTTGCCAGAAATGTGCTGTTCAGTTTCCTTCGTCCCAAGTGGAGCTATGTTGACGATCCAGGTCAAGTCAGTCTGGTGTATGTTGTTAGCTGTCATGCGGGTTCAACAAACGAAAATGCTGAGATGGAAAAGACTACGAAGCAAAAATGCCTGGAAAATATTCGATTTCCACAAAAGGGAAGGCCTTGGTGATTAAGACAGCTAGAGAAAAATTTGACAAGACGAACACATCGCGGGGATAGAACTGAGACCAGCTCTATGTCGTGTCTGTGATAACTGGCGCCTTCCTCGAGTCCTAACAACCTGGAGGCGTCGTGGAACAGATTTTGATACATGATGTAGCGTGCACACCTCCATCAAAGGGACCGACATGACCGTTCATTGATGTTTTAGAGCGAGTGACACACGGAGAGCACGTTCAACGGTTGCATTTCGCGTTTCCTGTTTGCGCGCGAATACAACAGGCGAAGAACGTTCAAGTCATCGTCAGGCTACGGGTATTCATCAAGACAATGTGCATTCTTCAGGCGACCGGCTCATTTGGTTTGCCATGGGCACAAATCGCATATAACGACATGCGCGACTGATAACGTGAGGCAGGCAAGTCAATGGCAAAGGAGCATATACCCTCAAATAACGAAGAGTATTGTTTGTGTCAAAATGTCCCAGGCAAAATATTTCTCTACTCCTCGACAGAGAACAAAGGTAGAGGGTAAGAGCTTGAAGTAAATCTCTTCTATCCTCCGCTTTCCCCTCCAGAATGTCATTGCAGTAGACGGAAACCGGAGTGAATACGAAGGAACATATGTTTTATGTGTTGTTGAAGAGAAAAAAGGAAAAGAAAAAGAAGATTCCCAAAATTTTGGGCCACGGGACAGACTTTTAAAGTAAACGCAAGCCACTCTTTGTGCCTTTGCGGGTGGGGTGCACTGCCTCATGCAAGAATTGAGCCACAAACTGGAAACGGGGCTCTTGAAGTTGCAGTGGAGTAAGACCCCGATAAGCGGGATAGCCAATAATGGATTGCCGGTTAGGTGGTTGGCGTAAGCGTGCGGTCGCACTCAGTCTATCGCATGTACTCTCGTACCTGCCTAATGCGGGGCATCTGCTCAACTGCTAGCCTGCCAGAGTCCGAGGGGGTGGATGCGGGCTGTTCCAGGAAGTCCCCATTAACTTTCTGCGACTTAACTCGAGGAAAAGGCCGTGCCGTCGTTGTGTTGCATCCATCATTGTTGTTGTAAAACTCATACTCGACTTCCTGTTCTAGTCTTTTACATCGGCTAGATATTTCTCTGCGACTCATCGATCTATTCAAGCGAAAGTCGATAAATACCCCACGACACACTCGACCGGAAAACCGTCGATCACAACTCTCAAACTCAAACCAACCAACGCCCAAAACCCAAAATAGACAAAATGGCAGGCGGTGCTGGCCCGGCTGGTCGTGGACGCGGCGGCAAGTTCAAGAAGTACACTCGTGGAGGTATGTTTTCTGGAAACACAAGGTCTGCCGCGGCAGTACTCTTCTCTACCCAAACCTCTGCAAAACCGGTCTAGATGCTAACCATCAACCCCCTTCCCCTTCTAGGTGGTCACCATTTCTCCCGCGATCTTCGCCCTCTCGACGCTGATGGTAACGAAATCGGCATGTGGGGCGCCGGCGCCAAGAAGAACGACTCCGAGTCCGAGGAGGAGTCTTCGGAGGAGGAGTCTTCGGAGGACGAGGCTGGTCCCTCCGGCAGCAAGGCCCCCAAGGCCGAGCTGACCCGTGAGGAGCTCAAGGCGCAAAAGAAGGCTCGCAAGGAAGCCGCCATCGCCCGCGCCAAGGCTGCCGCCGTGCAGGTCGGCGACTTGCCCCCCAGCGATTCCGAGGAGGAGAGCGAAGATGATGCGCCCATGCCCGCCAACCCCAACCACTCCAAGGCTGCGCGCAAGCAGACCCAGAAGCCCGCCGCCCCCAAGGCTGCGGCGGAATCGGATGACGAGCCTACCGCCGGTGTTAAGAAGCTCAGCATAGCGGACTCGGCTCCGGGCAACAGGAAGGAGCGCGAGGCGGCTGCGGCGGCGGCGGCGAAGGAGAGGTATCAGAAGCTGCATGAGGCCGGTAAGACGGATCAGGCCAAGGCCGATCTCGCCAGGTTGAAGCTCATTCGTGAGAAGAGAGAACAGGAGGCTGCTAGGAAGCAGGTACGTGGCATATCTTCGGTTGATCCCATTGAAGTGCATGAGACCCCGAACACGATTCTAATGGATTTTGAATTTATTAGGCCGAGAAGGAAGAGCGCGAAGCCCAGGAGAAGCTCAAGAGGGAACAATTCGAGGCTAAGGAGGCCAAGAGGCGCGAGGCCGCCCTTGGTCCCCAGAAGAAGGCTAAGAGCAGCAAGAAATAAAGGCAACGAGGGTGGAACCTTGATTTCTCTTTTTGCTTTCTCTGGTCATTTTTATTTTTCTATAGACCGCGGCGAATATGCAGCGGTAATTATTTGGGTTCTTCCGGTACCTTTTATTCTCCAGCCGTGTATACCTGTATATGCATTATCATCTATGTGTTGCCCGTGAAATATGTGCCTATTCCGGTCAACTCAGCCGGTGTGTATATGTCGTTGCCTTCTTCCCTCCACATTTTTTCATCTTCGCTTTCGAACATGGGTCATTATATCCCGACTGAAGGATCCGACCCGACAGCCTCCTTCCAGAACTCGTCAAAGTCAACCCCGTTCTCCTTGAACAGATCCCTAATCTTCTGCGCCACCTCGAGCTGCCTCTCCTGCGTAAAACCGCCCTGCTGGGTCTCAAACTGAATGACCTCGATCCAGCGATAGAAAAGGTTCTCCTTTCCAACAGCCGCCAGCGCATCGCGGAACGCAAACACCTGTCTCCTGCGCTCATCCTCCTGCGCACTCTCCCCGGAAGCATTCATATCAATCGCAATCCACCCAAACTTGTCGTGGTGGCAAAGCACCAGCGTCCTGAAGGCGTCCAGGGGAATATCCTTCTTATCCACCAACGCAGTCGCCTTGACCATGGCCTTCCAGTCCAAATCCCAGTCGCCGTTCATGGTCAGATATCCCGTCTTCTCCTGCAGCAGCATGGGGCTCGTCGCGTTGCGGACCATGCCCCACAGAATGCTGCGCGCCTCGTTACCCTGCGGCTTCTCCGAAAAGATGTCCACCCCATAAACCTGCGTGTCCCACGAGCGCGAGCGGCGCACGTAAATCTCCTTGTCGCGGAACCCGACCGCTGTCCGCCACGACACGGGGCTGCCGTGCTTGCGCCCGAACACGAACTCGATGGGCCACGGCCAGACGAACACGGCCAGCAAAAAGTCGAACAGGAAAGTGAGCGTGCGGCGGCCAGCCACCATGAAAAATTGTCGGTAGGTCAGGTCGGCCATGCGGATCGTCGTCGAGTTTTCGTAGCCCAAGAACGAAGAGCTGAGGAGCTCAACGTAGTAGGGGATGATGTACCACATGCGCCACAGGAACATGGCGAAGACGAAGGCGTTAAGCAGGATCGGCACCGAGAAGATCTTACGCTTGAACGAGGCCGGCTTCTGGTCGACGTGCGAGATGTACACGTGTTTCTTGGAGAGCGACGAGGTGAAGGGCTTGAGCGAATCGGGAGCGACGCGGAAGGGTTTGGGCGGCTCGAGAGCACCACTCCCCCCCTCCGGAGGAGGAGCTGCTCTTTGCGCCTTTGCTGGTTTCTTGGGCGCCATGCTTTGGGTTTGGCGTGAGGATGGGAAGCCGATATGAGAAGAAAAGAAGACGGTGAAGGAATGAAGAAAAAGGGAAAGTTGACAACCTGACTTCGTTGAGAACAAGTGTCGGGGCGGCCAAATTTCTGGAGAGTGGCCGAAAGGGTCCACGTCAGGGGAAAGCTTCGACGGTACGTACCTGTCTTGTTTGTAAGCCCCTGACGCTACCTTTGGTCCAAGGTACCGCAAGAACCCTAACCCGCCTGCTGTGTTTGCCTGCCGGACATTGACCCCTCGCAGGGGCATTACACTGTACATACTGCAGCAGTTGCAGCTGCCTCTACAGTACGTTACGATGGAGCTGTCTTATCTTATCAGTCAGCCGGGTACCCACTTTAATTATGTAGCGCTGTGCTGCAGCACCAGTACGAATGGAAGCTTTGGCGGATTGAAGTGCGGGACGAAACGGATCGCCCGTGTAAGATAGTACAATGCAAAATCCCAACCTTGGCTTGTCGCGCCAGGCTCCTGTTCTAAGTTTTCTCTCTGTTCCTGCTGGGGCAAACTATGCCCTGTGATAAAACAAGATGATGAGGGGCGGATTGTTGCAGGTAAGTTGCTGACTCCCATGCGCGCATTGCTTAATGACGACGTAGAGCAGGTCAGTCCAAGTCAATGGTTAGCTAACGTGGAGACCATCATTCTGGAAATAATAGAAGCAGGGCACTTCCTCTGTGTGTCTGCTCTGCCGCCACAGATGGCAACTTCGCCAGCAATATCAACAACGAATCCAGCCGAATACCCGCCGCGTATACTCTTCGTGGGACGATAAACCTAGCTGGGGTACCCAACAACAGCCCGTAACACCAGGCGCTGGAGGAGATGGAGGAGGGCAAGGAGGAGGAGGAGGAGGAGGGAGGATGGGGGTGGTTCCTGGGAAAACCCGGGCCACCCAAACGACACCCGGAACTGGTTCCTGGAAACCGGCCACCCAAACGACACCCGGAACGGGAACGGCACAGAGTCAACCCAAGCCCGCCAACCCTAACGCTGGCTTGCTTCCTCACGAGATCGCCGCCAGAGAGCGCCTGCTGAAAATGGCTGCAGCCGCTGTGGCTCCTAAGCCCGCTCCTCCTAGGCCCGCTCCTCAGCCCGCTCGAAAACTAGCACCAGAGCCTTTCATACGCGCCCCGAGTGACCGCCCGGTGCGCCGGCTACCTGAAGGTCAACAGAACGAGTACAAGGGGGTTGCGCCGCAGAAGGAACAGCAGGGACCTGTAGTGCGCAGGATGCTCTTGCGTCCGAAACAACCAGGTCAAGAGCTTACCAGAGACACGCCAGGACCCAAAACCGAGGGTGAAACTCAAAAAGCTGGGACTCCGGTCCGCACGGTATCAGCGCCTCTTGGTATAAGACGTTTTCCGGCACAGGCGCCTAAGCCTCAAGAAACTCCGAAGCCATCAACTTCCAGTCAAACCACTCCTAGCGAACCAATTCCCAGCCGACCAGCACAGGGACCAACAGCTCAAAGTCAACCCACTGTCAGCAGCCTATTGAGCCTCTCCAACAGGACATCACCAAAGCCGGCTCAAACCAGCCAAGCTAGTGAACAAGTTGATGGGACTTCAGGGAAAAGCGATTGGGATGCTTTGGAAGCCGCCAGTGCAGCGCCCAGCAAACCTATTGAACCGGCCGGTGGAGGATGGGGAACGAGCAGTTGGGGAACAAGTAGTTGGGGCGCCTCTTCAGCCGCTAATCAGCCAACCAGCCAACCCCAGACACAACAGCTCCTTCCCCACGAGATAGCAGCCAGGGCTCGGTTGCAGCAAAGACATGCTCAGAACCAGCCTCAGACCCCTGCAAAGAATCTGAGAAGCCTTGCTGATGGTCTTTTTGCCCATGATAGACAGACGGGTCAATTCTCGGCCAAGGATCTACGGAAACGTCAAGAAACGGGTTCTCTGAAGGACAACTTGCAGAATGCCGAGGAAGAGGAGCGCCGTGCGGACAATACAGACGCATGGGATGACATATTTGCCGCTCAGCCTCCTGCTCCTTCACCGCCCAGAACTTCAGCTCGTGAGGTTTACCAGTCAATCTCATCCAAGTTTGCACCTCCACCAGATTCAAGTTCTCCGCGTGAAACTGAAAGGCAATGGTCGGGGCTCGTCCGCCGTACAAGCATTCCACATCAGGGAACCTTCAACAATTTTTCTGATAATAACGCTTTTGTCAAGTCTGCCCCCCCATCTCAGGAAGAACGACGTCCGGGGCCCAGAGATAGTGCCGACTTTATGAAGCAGGCTGAAGATCGATATGTAACCAGGCCAGCACAATCCGGGGAGACTTCCGAGAGGACTCAAGAAGCTACTGAGGCGTTCAAGAAGCAGATGTCAGATGGGTGGGATTGGGCTGACGACTACGGAAGAAAGCCTAAGGAGAACGCAGGACAGAAGCTGGAGCACCAAGACTTTGAAAGGCCTCGAAACAAGCTGGAGCACCAAGACTTTGAAAAGCCCAGAGGCAGGGATAACGCAAGACAGGCAAGAGACGATAGGGTTGCGCTGGAAGAGATACCGATTCCTTCGCGGTATATCAAGGAGGAAAAGAAGCCCAAGAAGAAGGGAGGCAGGCGGAACGATTACAAGGAAGACGACGATTTCGATGATATGGCGTACGAGTATAAGCGTCGTGAAAGGTTGGCCAGGAAGGCCGAGAAGGAAAGGCTCCAGTTTGAGGAGACTGGCCCTATCCCCATTCTCCTTCCCGAGTTCATTAGCGTTGCCAACCTCGGCACGGCCCTTGGCGTGAAGACAGACCTGTTCATCTCCCAACTGGGTGAGCTCGGGTTCGAGGATATCGCCAAGGATAGCATCATGACCGGCGAGACGGCCGCCTTGGTTGCCCAAGAGTACGGCTTCGACCCAACAGTTGATGCTGGTGAGGATGAGGACTTGAAGCCACGCCCTCCTCCTGAGGACATGTCTACCGTACCCTTACGGCCACCGGTTGTTACTATCATGGGCCACGTCGACCACGGTAAGACCACTTTGCTCGATTTCCTGCGGAAGTCTTCCATCGCAGCCGGTGAGCACGGTGGTATTACCCAGCACATTGGTGCCTTCTCCGTGGCGATGTCCTCAGGTAAGCAAATCACCTTCCTGGATACCCCTGGTCACGCTGCTTTCCTGTCCATGAGACAGCGTGGCGCCAACGTCACCGACATTGTCATCCTGGTCGTCGCCGCCGACGACAGTGTCAAGCCACAGACCATCGAGGCCATCAAGCATGCCCGCACCGCCAAGGTGCCCATGATTGTGGCCATCAACAAGATCGACAAGGATCAAGCCAACGTCGAGCGCGTCAAGTCCGACTTGGCCGCCAACGGCGTCGAGATCGAGGACTACGGCGGTGATGTCCAGGTTGTCTGCGTCAGTGGCAAGACCGGTCAAGGCATGGACGATCTCGAGGACAACATCCTTACCCTGTCCGAGATGCTCGATATCCGCGCCGAGCCCGATGGCATGGCCGAGGGCTGGGTTCTCGAGTCTAGCATCAAGCCCATCGGTCGCGTGGCCACCGTGCTCGTCAAGCGTGGCACCCTTCGTCCCGGCGACTTCATCGTCGCCGGCCGTGTCTTCGCCAAGGTGCGCAGTCTACGCAACGAAGCGGGCGTTGAGATCGAAGAGGCGCCCCCAGGAACAGCCGTCGAGATTCTTGGCTGGAAGGAGCCGCCCGAGGCGGGCGACATGGTCCTCCAGGCGCCCGACGAAGACAAGGCCAAGATCGCGGTGCATTACCGCATCGAGCAGAAGGAGCGCGAGGAGGCCATGGAGCAGATTACGGAGATGGAGCGGGTCAGGCGCGAGCGCGATGCCGAGCGGATCGCAGCCGAAGCCGGGACCGAGGAGGCGGCGGCGGATGAGAAGCCAGACGGGCCCAAGACCATCAACTTCACTGTCAAGGGCGACGTGCATGGTTCGGTCGAGGCCGTGTGCGCGTCGATTCTTGAGATCGGCAGCAACGAGGTGCGTCCCCGCGTGCTGCTGTCGAGCCCGGGCCAGATCACCGAGTCGGACGTCGAGCACGCTGCGGTTTCGGGCAGCACGATTATCAACTTCAACAACCCGATCCCGGGCCACATCAAGCGCTTGGCTATCGAGAACAAGGTCAAGATCATGGACCACAACATCATCTACAACCTGACAGAGGAGGTGCGGCAGATCCTGAGCGAATCTTTGGCCCCCACGATCTCGTACAAGGTGATTGGCGAGGCCGAGATCGCGCAGGTGTTTGCTATTAATATCAAGGGACGCAAGTACAAGAATGTTGCGGGTGTCAAGGTCAGGAACGGAGCGGTGTCGAGGAATGCACGGGTGAGGTTGCAGAGGAAGGGAGAGGTTGTTTATGATGGTGAGTGTTTTTGTCTTTTTTTTCCATTTTTTCCCTCCCTTCCCCCGCTTCTTTCTTTTCCCTTTTCGGTTGGGCAATTACTAACAATGATAAAACAAAACAGGTACCATCAGCTCAGTCAAGCACGGTAAGAAGGAGGTTACGGAGATGCGCAAGGGTACCGAGTGTGGTCTTGAGTTTGGTGACGAGTTTGATGATATCAGGGAAGGCGATCTTATCCAGGTCGTGGAGGAGATTGTGGAGAAGAGGCATCTGTAAAGGAACTGGATTGTTCCTTTTTGTAACACCATACACACTACACTACACTACACGACTGTACAAATTACCGGGGATATCAAAAAGATTGGGCACTTGTAGGGAAAAGTCAAAAGATGGATGGGTGATGGCGGATATATAGTCATTGCATATATCAGCAGCTACTGGGGTAGATATTTGTAGACATGATAGAACCACATCAACAGTCTGGCGTGTGTGCGAACTGATCAAAGGTTTGAAGACAACTGAGCATGGTAGTTAAATTGGATGAATTCATGATGTTAAGATGTAATGCATTTGTGGTCCATACTGTTCGGTCTCATCAAATAAACTTACGAGCAAGTGATAAACCCTCCTTGGCCCATTCCTTTTTCCTCTTATCTTCCTCCCTTGGGCGCAGATATGGAAGCAGACGAGAACGTGCCTGTCAGTGTAGCCCGCGACCGCTCCTTCTCCAACTTCTGCAGCCCTATCCTATCGGTCACGGGCGTGGCCGCAATGATGTTGTCAAACTCGTCATCTTCCTCCCCGTTGTCCGAGTCCGGCTCGGCATCTGAATCCGGCTTGTACTGTCCCTGGGGTCGAGTAATGGTCTCCACCGTCTTCTTGGGCGGTTCGGGGTTGGCAAACGATTTGGAAGCGAGGATCTTGCGGCGGATGGCCTCCATTTCGGCTTCGTCGTCGCTGTCGTCGGATATGGCGAAGGGGTCCCTGTCTTCCTCTTCCTCTTCTGACTCCTCCTCGGCTGGTTGTTTCTGTTTAGGTGGTGGCTTGGTGCCGAGGTAGATACCGTCTACGCTGTCATTTTCGTCGTCGCTACCGGCTTCCTCGTCATCGCTGTCTTCCTCCTCGTCATCGTCGTCTTCATCCTCCTCGTCCGAGTCGTCCATGACCGGTCTCCGATTCGTGTTTCCAGTCGTCCAGATATCATCCGCCTCGACGTCTCTGCTCTCCGTATACTCCTTCTCCAGCCTCTCCCTCCACGCCTGCTCCGCCTGCTTGATCTCGTCCTCGTCCTTGCAGGCCGAGTAGATCTTGAACAGCTTCGAGTTGATATCCAGGAACGCCCTGCCGTACGAAAATGGCGCCAGAATCTCCTCCGCCCACTCCAGATGCCCGCAAATCGCAAACGCCGCCGCCAGCGCCTCCACGCAGTTCAGCCGGAACGGCTTGCCGTAGTTGACCGTGTTGGCAGCCACCAGGTACGGCAGCAACCGCTCGCACTTGCCGCCCACCCGCCTCCAGTCCACCTCCTTGGTGCGCGCCCAACTGCACTCCACCACCGCGGCGCCATACTGCTCCAGCAGCTCCTTGTCCGCGGGCGAGACGACCTTCTTGCCGTTGGGGGTGATGATGACGCCCGAGTGGCGCTGGCCCATGTGCAGCTCGCGCATGAGGCCGAGCTTCATCAGCTTCTTGCCGGAGCATCGCTTCGGGTCGCAGTGGCCCAGGTCCCAGCAGGCAGCTTTGAACGGGGGGCGATAGGGGCGCGAGGAAGTGGAGGGGTCGTGAGGGTTGGCGGTGGTGTCTTCGCCGCCGCTGTTGTTGCCGTCTTGAGCAGAGGCTTTGCCGGCGCGCGGGTTGTTGCGGGGAGGGTGTCGGCCGTAACCGCCTTTGCCGCCGCGGGAGGAGAAGCCGTCCTTCTTGTGGCGGACCATGGTGATGGTGATGATGATGAAGATCTGAGTTTCGTGTGTATGGTGTGTTTTCAAGGACGAGGCTTGCAGTTGATCGAGCTTTTTATGTCGCAATCGGTAGGTTCTGACACGAGCACTGCCCTGTTGTGGAAAGGGAAAAAATTGGGTAAGTGGCGGGTGTCTGCGGATATGTACGTGTTATATGCTGGACCCCCCGAATTGGTTGCGCTGTGTTAAGTTCGAAGTGGCAGATGGCGAAAAAGTTATCAATACAGTTGAAGACCTTGACGACATCGATTTGGGGTCATGCAGGTGGGTTGGTGGGGTCCGCTGCGGACCTTAATGATTGACATCTTCCCCGAATTCATGCAATTCACCGGTTGCTGCGCGATGGACAAATCCGCAGGCGTCTGTCACGGTGGCGCCTCCGCGGCGCTTGTCGAGCTGACGGAAATGAAATAGAGGGTATTTTTCATTTACGAGAGATGTATGCACGTATCGAAATATGGCCAAATGGGTGTACGGCTCCACTTGCCCGTCCCTTTGCGCCCCAACAACGGCAGGCAACAGGCCCAACCCATCCACAGCGCTGAGAGGGGTCCACGAGTCTAAGCTCCCATCCCCTGGCAGCAGCCTGGCTCCCAGGCCTCCTCCTTCCATCACTGCAGCCAGCGATCCGATGGACAATCCCGTCATTTGTTGTCCAGAAGTTCGGATCGAATCATACCATCCACTCTGTCTTTTCTGTATTTCCGTAACCGTAGTATACGTATCTCACTCGAACACCAGCACAACACCTTACTCTTGCTCCGAGTACCAACCAGAGGTCAATCCCAACGGCAATCCCGGAACAGAGCTTCACTATAGAATACGACACCTTTATAGAGCTTGACCGACCGAGGCTTGGGTCCTGGCCGCCAACTTCCTTTGTCCCAGGCGATTCCCGCCAAGCTGCGCAATCTGGCCCCAATACCTCGTCCATCTCTTATAGTCTCGTCAATCTCGTCAGCAACCCAATCTCCTCCTCAGACTCTCCGATACCCCCGGCAACATGGAGGCGGCGTCTGCCCGCTACGCCACGCGTGACCGGTGGGCCGAGATGGGCCGCCCGGCACCGTCCCAGCTTCAGCGCTTCATCACGGCCGCCTGCAGTCCCGACAACTACGAGCCCAACTTGGCCCTGAACCTCGAGATCGCCGACCTGATCAACTCCAAAAAGGGTTCCGCCCCTCGAGAGGCCTCGGTGGCCATCGTCAATTACATCAACAACCGCAATCCCAACGTCTCTCTGCTTGCCCTCAACCTGCTCGACATCTGCGTCAAGAACTGCGGCTACCCTTTCCACCTACAGATCAGCACAAAGGAGTTCCTCAATGAGCTGGTACGCCGCTTTCCCGAGCGGCCCCCGATCCGGCCCACCCGCGTTCAGCTCAAAATCCTCGAGGCCATTGAAGAATGGCGCTGTACGATTTGCGAGACGAGCAGGTACAAGGAGGACTTGGGCTTCATCAGGGACATGCACCGCTTGCTGAGTTATAAGGGGTACACCTTCCCGGAAGTTAGAAGGGAGGATGCAGCTGTGCTTAACCCGAGTGATGTAAGTCTTCCCTTCCTTATCCCCCTTGTGCCAGTATTGAAGCATGTCTAATTTTCATGTTACAGAACCTTAAATCCGTCGAGGAGATGGAAGCGGAGGAACGCGAGGCGCAATCTGCCAAGCTGCAGGAGCTCATCCGTCGAGGTACTCCCGAGGATCTCCAGGAGGCTAATCGACTCATGAAGGTTATGGCTGGCTATGACACGAGATCCAAGGTCGATTACCGCGCCAAGGCCGCCGAGGATGTGGGGAAGATTCAACAAAAAGCGAGACTCCTCGAGGAGAGGCTAGAAGCCTTCAAACCCGGTGACAAGATCGTGGACGGCGACGTCTTCTCCGAGCTTGCCGCCGCCCTGTCTAGCGCCCAGCCAAAGATTCAGAAAATGTGCGAGGAAGAGTCGGACGACCATGAAGCAGTCGCAAAGCTTCTCGAAATCAACGACAGCATACACCGAACTGTAGAGAGGTATAGGTTGCTGAAGAGGGGCGACCTAGAAGGTGCCAAGGCGTTGGCAAGTGGCGCGCCGGTTACGAGCACAAGCAACGGCAGTGGTAGTGGCAAGAGTGCGGCGCAAGAGTTGTCGCTTATTGATTTTGATGCTGAGCCGAGTGAAGGAGACTCAGCAAGCCAGACGGCATCTCAGGGAGGAAACAGTCTCGAAAACGACTTGCTTGGTTTGTCATTGGGGGGAACCAGCTCATTCGGTCAAGGAGGCGGCATTGCACTTGGGTTCGGTGCCAACACTAGTACGTCAACTCGTTGCTATACTTGCAGAATCGTAAGGGAGACTGTTACTAACGCTCACCACAGACATTCCTGGACCGGCACTGCTCTCGTCCACTACGCAAAACAGCACCGCCAGGGGCCCCTCCCCTCAGTCTGGCCCGTCCTCTCTCAACAACTTCAACTCATTTTCATCGCCAGCTGCTTCCCAATCAAGCACTCCCAAACCTCCCGCGTATATGGCATCCGCCTTTGCCGCGCCAGCTGAGTCGTCAAAAGCGTCCAACGACCCATTTTCTGCTTTAGCCTCTCTCTCCTCTTCGTCTACGCCAGTGCCAGCGCCAGCGTCAGCCCCAGCACCAGCCCCAGCACCAGCTGCTACCAGCAACGACGATGACGAGTGGTCTTTCTCCTCGGCACTGCCCCCTGAGACGGCACCAGCCCAACCAAAGGAGCACAGGGCCGTTGTCTCTAACACTGCGGTCAGGATTGACATGGTGGCTGTCAGATCTCTGTCAAACGGCCCATCTCCAGCCATTTCTATGCAATTTGCTTTCAGCAACAATACAGCGCAACCCATCACAGAGATACACTTCCAGTTGGCTGTTACCAAGGTAAGCTTACTTGCATCATGTATCTTCTGTTAATAGAGATGCTGACCAAGCGGCCCAAACAGGGATATGAATTGCAACTCCAGCCTCAGACAGGACGTACCCTTTCCCCTAAGCAGAGCCGGGGCATTACTCAGTCAGTCAACGTATGGTACACCGCGGACAAGACCAAGAAGGTAGAGAGCGTGAAGCTCAGGTGGAGGGTATCATACAAGGTTGGGGCAGAAGCAAAGGCCGAGATGGGCGAGATCCCTGAGTTCAGCTTGGCATAGGGAAAGACTTTGGTCAGTATGAGGGCCAGAAGAACGAGGAAGAGGTTGAGTGCATGTTTACGTCCAAAATACATAGTAGTACGAGTAGTATGGGGCCAATTAATATGTAGTGATATGATGGCCGGCAAGGGAAGCAGGGAGATGTGGTAGACATTTTCGTTCACTGGGAGCTGATCGGCTGATGAAAGAAAAGAGAAGGAGGGACATACCCGCCCATACGCAACTTCCTTGTTCGTTTCGTTCTTCGTTCGGTGGAAGGCTCCTACTTCACACTTCATTACTCTTTCCTTTGATGCGTGCGACCAACATACCTACACAGGCACTCCTCAGTCACGCCACCTTTTTAGATCGTACTTACCAACTCGGAACAAGGTTCGTGATTCCTCCTTCCAGTCACTTCTCACTTCTCATTTTTTGGGGGCTCCCCCAGTTGGGACACCAAACTCCTCATCCTTTATTTGCCAACTTTTCCCGAAGCACAACCTCACAGCCACCTTACCCTCCACTCCTAGAACTCTAGCCGAATCATTTTTCTTTGCTCAACCCCTCAGCGGCGGTCTGTTGCGAATCCTTTTCGATCTTCGTCCATCATTTTGTAGCATTTCACAATCAGCCGCCAAATATTTGTCATCCACCACCCGAGTAGAGACTTGGTTCACGGTATTCAGCTTACATTATTGACAAGCTTTCCATGAGCGATCACTCTCCTAAAGCACGAACTTTGAAGCATGATTGCCCCGACTGATCCTCGTCCCCATCTGTCTCTTGTTGAAACTCCCCTAGCCCACTTCTTTGTCATTTGCATGCTCATTATGAAACCCTCCCAAAATCCCGACGAACTCCTCAAAGCCATGGAGCAACACCACGAACTATATATCGCCAATCTTCGGCTCCTTCATGACCTCACCCTAAGGAACAACTCCCCTTCCGTTCTCCCTCGAAGCAGTGGCATCGAACGCTCACGCAACCACGACAGCCCTCCACCGACGCCACCTAGAGGCTCAGGTTTCTCCCACGACAGTCTTTCTTGGTACACATTCGGTTCCAACCGTTGTTAGCGTCAAACGAACGAGCTGCATACCTCGAGACCATATCACTTTCCTACCGAAGTGGCTTTCAATAGCCGAGCATCGCGGGCTCCATCAATGGCCGACAACGAGAGTGATGATCTTCTGAGCCATTCTCTTTGCACGATCAAGCCAATCGAGCAGGAGTCATTTACAGACCAGGATTTGAGAAATCATCTTGAATCAGTCAACGACACCACCTGGGCCAGGGATACCAAGCTGCAGGATCAATGGCGCGATGAGTACATCACCGCCCCGGATCAGTTTTTGGAGCTTTGGGATGGAAGGGATGACGGCGCGCACAAAAATGCAACATATGAGGTATATGAGATAACCGGGAGTGGTGAGCAGAAATGCATTCCCGTCGCCAAGCATAAGGAGAACGGAGAAGACTCTCAGCAATCCCTCAGCGTCAAGAGCGTCTGGGATACCCTCAAAGAGGTGAACAAAAATGGAGAGGCGGTCGGAAGAATAATGTGAGTGAAGCTTACTATTGCGGAAGTTTGAAGCTCTTGTTAACAGTTTCCAAGTATTCTTCAAGAGGTTCCCCCCCTTGTACTCGGGGCGGTTCACATGACGTTGAAGAAACATTTTGACATGGATGAGCTACTCCAACATCTCATTTACAAGGACGGAAACAATGGGATGACCAAAGTCGGTAACATCATCATCCAGTCACCTCATGGATGCTAACAGAACATACCAAATCTAGGCTTATATGGATCGAAGTACCGAATCAACCCCGTTAAGGCAAAGAACGTTCTTCTTCGTGTTCAAGTACTATACAGTTGTCAACGAGAACAAGTGCACTCCTGCACCGTGGCAAAGTCATGATAGACGCCCAGCTGACCGAAAATGTCCCGATCACGTCGACATCGCAGAGTGCAGCTCAATCCTGGCATTGTCACTCGGCGGTGATCCGATCAAACGGTACCGGGCAAAGGTGAAGAAAAGAGATACCAAGGACCATGTGGTTTTTGACACTTCGGCGCCGTGGCAACTCCTCAGTATCCAGTGCTTCCCAGATGACGAGCACACAATGAGGACTAGCGAGGGGTTGAAACGACCGTTTTGCAATGGCCCATTTGCGTTTCTGGATAGTTTGGCCCTGGAATACCATGATGCTGTTACAAGATACAGTCAGATCAACGACGAGGTGACCAAGTTGATCACACCGCCGGTAAGAGTGCTACCACATGGAGAACCCAGGGGGTATCAACTGACGCATTGATCACAGAGCGATTTCATGTTCAACTCTGAGCTTCGAGACGGTCTCCTCTTTGAAGACGAAGATTTTTCGTATTCCCGCCGTTACTTTTGGGCATACAACACCCTCGGTGTGATCAATGTGGGAATCGACTCGATGATATCAGCCTACCAGGAAACATTTACCAATGATTTCTGGAAAGGGAAGCTCGTGAAGCTTTGGGCGCACCCAGATCCGGACTCGAGTGATGGTGAAGCTTATGCTAAATGCATGGGCGTCCTCAGACATGAGCTGGATAGAGAAGTGAACAATTTGGAGAAGGTGCGAGAAAAGAATAAGAAAACGCAAGATGAGATAGCTTCGCTGAGGGACCAACTTTTCAGCGGGAGCAGTGTTAAGGAGTCCAGGAGGGCTATTGAGCAGGGAGACAACATCAAAATCCTTACCGTGGTGTCGATGCTCTTTCTGCCTTTGACCTTTGTTACTGTGAGTCAGGAGTCAGCCTCCCCTATTCTTTTCTGATCCTACATTGTTGCCACTTCATTTTACCGCATGTTCATTATTTCATTTTCGTCGTGTTACCACCGTACGCCTGTACTCTACCAGTTTTCTTTTTCCCCAGCCCCTCACATCTGCCCTTTCCATGCCCGAGAAACCTATCCATTCGTAATGGATCGAAATCCTACGCATGCCCAGGGGAATCTCTAACACAGTCTCAGTCCGTTTTCGGTATCACCACTCTCGAGATATCGGTCGACGATTGGCGGTTTTCCGTTACTCTAATTACTGTTTGCATTCCCTTCTTCATGGTCATCTTTGCCCTCCAGACTCGTTGGGGGATGAAAAAAGCCAAGAAGTGGGGGAACAAGATTGAAGGATATACCAGTGGATTATTTGGTAAGCCGCCCTCGACGAACGCATGGCAGACGACTGGTGACTACGGCAAACTGAGGGACCACTCGTCCAGGGCAAATGGAAACGAGGACTTAGGTGAGAGGCGAGGAGATCGGAAAAGGCCTGGCCTCAAAGACAAAAGAACATACTCTGTGTCTTCGTCAAAGTTATCAGCCGGGTCTGTCGCAAAGAGAGGAGGGTCCCGGCATGGTCTACTTCCTCAACATCAGATCCGTGGAGGAGGACCACGGACGATGATGGAACGGATGGGAGGGTTTTGCGCCTTGATGATAAACATGAATCGCTGGAATTTGTTCAGATGGTGGAGGAACAAAGGAAAGATCGAGGATCCGGCTGCAAGTGATGAAGCGAGGATCGAGCAGGTGTAGCTGTTCGCTCGAAAATCTAACGCTTCGATAGACAAAAACTTGGGTGGGTGTCGAGACATGCATATGAGATTGTGTTCTTTTCTTGCTTTGTCTGTTGTTGTCCTAGATATAGTGCGAGTGAATATCCATATCGAGAAGAAATATAATACAACAAGCATCGATTCAGTTTACCGTCTGTCACCTTAGCTTGATAATTCCTGTCATTCCTTCTTATCTCCCATATCAGCTGCAGATGACTTCAGAAGATGACCACGAGATCTCATGCCGCCCTTTTTGAGCAATACGCGCTGTTTATGCTCGCCGGGGTACACCACCGCAACCAAGGCCCCCTGGAATCCCACTTCCTGACCTGAGTCCCTTCCCTTCCGTTGCATCTACAATGGAAGGTCTTTGCCTTCCCTACTCCCTCCTTCGCCCCTCACTCCTTCTTCTTTCCACTCACTCAGCAACACCCTCCACCTTCCCCTGCGCATTCGTCCCATCCATCGGCGGGCCGTCGTTGCCCCCCTAGCCGCCTTTTCCTTGGCGTACTCCTCGGGCGTCTGGCACTTGGCGCTCCACGCGTGGATCCGCGCAATCTCCTCCTTGAGCGCGGCGTTGACCAGCCGGTGCCGCTTGAGACTGTTCTTGCCGACGAAGTCGGGGGAGACGATGAGGGAGGTGAAGGAGGCGCCGCAACCGCCTTTTTTGTATTAATTTGGGTGTTAGTCAAGCTAGGTGTGTGTACAGATAGATGTTGAAGAAATAGGAATAGGGGATGTGACATGACATGATGACTGAGGTGAAGTGGGTTTCGACGGGGACGGGAAAATGGAGATAATTTTATCAGATCATCAGATTGTCCAGAGAGCTCCGAACCGGCGGTGACATGACGTCGGGACAAGAGAAGGTAGGTGCTCGGTGGAAATGTGCAGCGTGTATAAGGTCGAGAAGGAGTTGTATACTGTGTAAATAAAGTGATGTATCTGAAATAAAATATGTACATACCCGACATGTCTGTTACTTCTACGTGAGTGGCATTGAGTCTCGTCTTGAGGACGGCGGAGAGGAAGTCCTCCGTGATCGCTGGTTCTTGGATGTCGGCCATTTTTATGCCTTTTGTAAGGCTGTACCTTATGTCTGGTCTTTGGTGTAGAAGGGGGGAGAGTTGATATTTGGAGATCTTGGAAATGATCGAGTCGGAAAAGATGGAGTGGGAATAAAGAAATGGATAATGATTGAGGGACCACTGCAGCAACTGAACCTGAAAGTGTGAAGAAAGATGATGCCCCGCGAATTGAATGGTCTTGGCATCAAGCTTTAGCTTAGGAAATGGGAAGACGGGTTAGGGTTGGGGGTGGAAATAATAATGCTGCAAGGTTCGAACTCGGATGGAACAGGCTTCACCCACCCACCCCGCCTGGAGTTCCCTCGTTCGAGTCGAGGTTGTAAACAAACAAACAGTTCATTTGAGCAATTGACAAGGACAACAAGGCTTGAGTAGAACCCAATCTGTATGTTGGTATCAATTGGAGACGATAAATAAACTTTCATTTTATTCTTCCATTTTCTTATGAAACCCCGCTGACCCAACCACAGTTCAAAATTTCCCGGAGCTTGCCCACTTTTGAGCATCAAGTCATCAACAACACAAAGTTGCCCCGGGCACACTCATGAGCGCAGTCTTCAAGATCCCGACTAGGATCACCACCAGGCTATTCACTAAACCTGTCGCATTTGCATATAACCCATCTTTATTTCTCTCAAGATCTTTCAGCAGACGTTATTGTCAAAACACGTATAATAACCCTGCCTTCACCATGACATCCACCCTCGAGAGCCCCCATTTCACCAAGCAGGTGGTAGCCGCAATGCGCGCGCTGTAAGTGCTCCCAACTTGTGGTCTAAAGAACGATTTCATCCTCTATGGCCGACTTCCATGACTGATACTAACTATGACCAGCTACCCCGAGCAACTCGCCGACAAGGCCTGGGACAACGTCGGCCTGCTTCAAGAGAACATTGCTGTTAGCGGCCAGGATGTCTCCCCAACCGTCCTTTTGACCAACGACCTCACCGTTGCCGTCGCCGAGGAAGCCATCCGCAAGCGCGCCTCAGTCATCGTATCATACCACCCCTTCATCTTCCGCGGCCTCAAGTCCGTCACCCTCGCCGACCCCCAGCAACGCATCCTCTTGCAGCTCGCCCAAGCCAACATAGCCGTCTACTCCCCTCACACCGCCGTCGACGCCGCGCCGGGTGGCATGAACGACTGGCTAGCCGACATGCTCGACGGCCACGGCGTCGAAACGAAGCGGAGCATCTGCCAGCCCATCTCTAGCTCCATCACCTCCTCCCTGCCTCCGGCCTTCTTCAACTCGGGCTACGGCCGCCTCGTCGAGCTCGGACACCCCGTCCACCTCGGCAACATCATCAAGGCGTACGCCGAGGGTCTTGGCGGGCTCAACCACATCATGATCGCCGCGCCCAAGGACAAGAAGGTCACGACCATTCGGAGCGTCGGCATCTGCGCGGGCAGCGGCGCCGACGTGCTCAAGAACTGCGACGCCGACCTGATTGTCACCGGCGAGATGACGCATCACTACGCGCTGGCGCTGACGATGAAGGGGAAGGTGGTGGTGACGGTGTTCCACAGCAACAGCGAGAGGAAGTTTCTGAAGAAGAGGCTGCAGGCGCAGTTGCAGGCGCAGCTGGAGAAGGAGGGCGTCAAGCACCCCGAGGTGCTCGTGAGCGAGGCGGATGCGGATCCGTTTGAGATCTGGGATGTGAACAAGATGCCTGCTTGGGCTTTTGGGAAGGAGTAGGCGGACGGATCTGGGGAGGTGGTAAAATGGTGGAAATTGAGAAATTGACATATGGTGCAGCAATGGTGGCCCTGGCCTGACTACTAGCACTGAGAGGCACGAGAGGAAGAGAGTGCTGGATCTGTGTATAACCTGACCCCTTGGCCATCTCCACAGGTAGGCACTAGCTCGGTTTGCACAGGGGACCAAGGCAGATCTCATCGTACCTGCCTTCCTAACACATCTGGAGACTAATCTACACAATCTCTGGATCGGGCAAGCACACCCTGGCAGGTGCTGTCAGGACATGGACCACCCGATATTAGATGACAGGAAGGAGCGAGGGACTGGGAATACAATCATGATGCATTCCTGGCTGGGGGTTTTGACGGCGCGCCACCTCATCTCCTGGGGTAGATATGTAGATTCTGCATCTCCAGATGGTGTTATCAATTCCAGCAAAAAGGGTTCTACCGGTCATTCATAGTTCTGACGCGATGCATCTCCACGATTTAATAATTCTGGTAGTAAATGCTAGTTCAACGGCCCAAGCCAACACGATATGGCCGCCACTATTAGATGATGAAACGGCATTCAAGCCTTCAGGTTCCGCGCGGGACGGAAAACGTGGGCGCTGCTGCCCCCGCCTCCCAAAACACCATTTCCACAACTCGTTCAACCCGATGGACTTTCTTTTTTCCGGCTCCGCCGTTAGCTCCTTCCTTTTTTCTCCAATTGGAAGAAGAAGATGTGGACGGTAAGGAAGGAGCGCAATTAGGCGACGAGACGAGCGGGAAGAAAAAGAGAAAAAAAAACCGTGTCTTCGTCTGACATCATAGTCTCGAGTTCTTCCCTTTTCCGCTTCACTTTTTAATCCCGCTGTCGCCGGTATCCGATATGTCTTTCTTCGGTCATCACGACACGAGAAAGGGCCTTCCAATCCCGCCCGCTGCTGCCGATATCAAATTATGTATGTCTAAGTCTCTCTTCAGTCAGTCAGTCATCCCGTCACGGACACGAGAGAGATAGAGAGAGCAGCCGAAACCAAAACACTCCGCTCCGCTGTTCGTTAAAGACTCAAGACTCAAGACTCAAAACTCAACTGGCCGAGCGAGCGATATGCCAATAATATCTTTTCTCTCTCAGTATCTCTCTCCCTCGGTCAAAGTCAGAGTTAAACACTACTATACGGACGGACGGACTTTGACATTACCAACTTTCCGGATATATATGATTCCAGAGTAGGACGGAACGGGAATATTTGAACTATGATGCATGCATCATCATCATCATCAACATCAACATCGTTCTTCGTTGCGTTCTTGGCTTCGTCTTCTTCGTGGATGATGAGAGGTGAGTGATGAGTGATGGGCTTTACCTGCTGACTGCTATCTGCTAGCTGCTGAACGGGTACTTACTTCCAAACCTTTATCAGCTGAGTTTCTCCAAAACCCTCAAGAGCTCAAGAGCTCAAGACATATTTCTCTTGGCCCGCCACCGTCCGTCCACCTACTAGTATGTCCGCCAGTCACATCAAACTGAGCTATGTAGGTATGGCCTTGCTGAACTGAACTGAATTGAACTTTTTTTTTTCCAGATCTTAAGTCTCTCTCTCTGCTTTGATAACTACCGAAGATGTTGCTGCTGCTGTAGGAGTGAGTGATAATTAAGCACAAGTAGGTAGGTTCTGTAGGTAGGACTGAGATAAAATTGCACTCCAAGACAAATTTGTCTCGCACACGCATTCATTTAGTTCCTGGATCCTGGCCCTGGCCACTTTTCACTCACTATAAATTTCATCGATCTGCCTGCCTGCCTGCCTGTGTGTCTGTCTGTCCAAGTGGCTTGCACGCATGTCTAACGTCCATTATGTGTAACATGAGGGGATGTGCTTGACTGACTGACTGCCCGTCTTGGCATCTTGCTTATCAGGGAAAGTGAAGACGAATCATGTCAGACTCAGACCAGGCTGACTAGAGGTAGATGTAGAGGCAAGCCAAGAGGCTCGGTGACTGACTGACTTTCCTGCGGCTGGAAAAGCTTTTTGCGTAATTTCTCCGCTTTTTGTGTTTTGACGCCCACGCTTCACAACATGAGATAGATCTGGGAGTACCTCAACGCCTACGGGGAATCTCGGCATTACATGCATTACTAGACATGACCAAAATCTTGCTGATGTTTTGAATCTTGGACGAGCTGTCAGCTGCGTGATGAAATGCCTTGCCAAGTGTCTACCTCAGTCCATGGTACAGCCGAAGGCTGTAGACAGACATGACATGACAAAACAAAGTCGGCTTTTTTTGCAAAGAAGAGAGAGACACTGAAGATGGATCTGAAGAGACCGTCTCATCACGCTAGATCTCTCTCAGTCTCGTGGCTCAACGCATGGTATGGCATGGCATGGCCCAACGTTGCTTCTAGAGCAGATAGAGGAAGCTCGTTTCGTGTGTCTGATCTGCCTCTTTGCCTCTTGGCTCTCCTCGACGAACCCCAGATGGATATCTTACTATGTCTAATATCGGAGTTACAGAGTGTGCTACATGATATTCCTGATATAGACCAGACCATGTTAGCTTTCTTTCAAGTTCAGTTCAGTTCAGCGGCGGCGTGGACGAGATCCTAGAGGTGGTGGTGACAGCACAAGTCAGCAAGATGTCAGCTTGAGATCCTTCAGACAGACAACTCCCCCTTGTAACTTGCTTCCATGGAGATCCCAGAACCCCATGGTTACCTTGACTCTCCTTAATCTTATGCTTTCACTGAACGCATCGGCTTTTGCTCAAATAGCAAGATCCGCCCTCACTTCACTTATTATCTTTTCTCGTTGGATTATTAGAAGAACGGTGTCTTTTTTTCCTCAATTGACTTTGCTCAGTCTCTCTTTCCCTTCCTGCATTCCTTTTCGGCATTATCTGCGGGAGTTACACTCGCTCGTTTCCAGACGTTGCAGTTTCAACTAACCAGTTTGATAGACGCATCTATCGCATCTATCGCATCCGTATTCCCTCTTTTCCCCAAGGTTGACTAAACAAAAGTCCGACACAACCAAAATAACTCACTCCCTCATGAGGCTCGTCCTTATCATTCACTTGGCTCTTGCCAGCCTGGCAAGCATTGCGTTGGCTCAAGATGTCTTGTTCCCGTATATGCATGGCCTAAAATACTCAGAGTATAATGAGACTGTCAAGTTGGGACTATCAGGTGAGTTCTTAAGATGAGACAAGTTAGCATCATCATCAAAGATTAATGTCATCGTGAGGAAAAAAAGAGACTGACAAAAAGACAAAACAAAAACAGTCCACACCTGCAAAGATGAAGCGGAATGGTACAGCATGACCACGGCAGACTTTGCCAAATACAAGGCCATCATCGTCCCCGACTGTCTCTGCAACACCAGTCTCAACACCATCAAGTTCCTGGACGATACAAAAAAGGTATGGTCCCCGGCCGTGACGGGGAACATGGTCCTCATTGGCACCGACCCGTCCTTCCACGCAAAGTGGTTCGGGCTTCCGGGCGCCTATGCCATGATGAAGGACGCCATCAGCCACGTCACGCTCGGCAACAAGAATGGCACAGGCATGTACTTCTCGCTCTCGTGCTACTACCAAAGCAACTCCAGCCAGATGGCTGTCCAGTCTCTGTCCGAGATTGGAAACTTCCAGGTCCGGGGCAACCTCAGCCACCCGTGTCTGAACGACGCCCATCTTGTGGCTACATCCGACGTCATGACCTCGCTGAACGACGGCATGGCAAGCGACTGGAACTGCAGTGTCCATGAAGTGTTCTCGGACTACCCTCGAGAAGGGTCTGGTGGCTTCAATGCGCTTGCCGTGGCCGTGAAAGCTTCTGGTCCGGGGCAGCAGGAGTTTGCTGATGGCACCGTAGGTATTCCCTACATTATTGCACGTGGAGCAACTCCTGTTGGGTGCGGAAACAACGTGACGGACACCAAGTTCCACGAGCAGTGCGACGAAGGCAAGGCAAACGGTACTCCGGAGAGTCTTTGCTCGGCGTCGTGCAAGTGCATCTATGGCATGATCAGTCCAGGCGTGTGTCGTCCCAAAGACAATACCACATCGACGACTACCAGTCAGATGTCAAGTTCCACGGTCTTTAGCAACTCTAGGTAAGTTACTTTCTCAACCGCGGAACAGACCGATGAAAAGTTCCTAACCATGAGTCAGCAGTACAATCGCTTCGAGCACTTCACTCCCTGCAAACTCAACCTTTTCTCGGCCCGTTGTTACAGTCACGGCAGCGCTGCCTTCCAGCAGCATGACGGGAAATCTCACCTTTACCAATTCCTCCAGCACTCCTAATCCTACCGGGCCGGAGACAGATCCCATCACGGTGACCGTCTATCCCTCCAGCCCCAGCTCTCCTTCGAGTGCTCCACCGACAATTACCGCAACTCCTATGCCTGCGCCTGTGCCTTCCTCGGTTGCTCCACCAAACAACAGCTCGAGCGTGTCTTACGGCAATGGCACCACGCCGCTTGAACCTCCCCGTCCCCCTCCAACGGTGACTGTTTTCCCTTCAGATGTTCCATCAGGAATACCGCCCGGAACCGTCACGGTTCTGCCACCAACATTCACTGTGAGACCTCCACCTCCTGAAGATCCATCAGGATCAGCACCGGGGACCGTCACCGTCGAGCCATCATCTCCGTCCAACTCTGGTGGCTCACCACCCTCATCGCCATCAGGTTCAGGCCCAGTCACAGTCACAGCTCTTCCGTCATCTCAGTCCGGCAATGGAACTTCTCCACAAAGTTCCGGCTCTCCGTCGTCATCAAACCCTGTATCAGGACCCGTCACGGTTACAGCTTTGCCCCAATTCATGAGCGGCGCTCCTCCGTCTTCAATGCCCTCGCAGTCTGGCAATTCTTCATCCCCGTCGTCCCAGTCAAGCGGCGGTTCGGCGTCTAGCGGACCCAATGGGCCGGTCACTGTGACCGCTTCCGGATCCGGTCGACCCAGTAATAGCAATGCACCTCCATCATCGGAAACAGCTACGGCTGATCCTGGTATGGAATCCTCGAGCAGTTCCCCTGCGGGATCAGCACCTGGATCTGGCACTGCCACTGGAGGGCCTCCAAGCTCTCCTTCCTCTTCTGGTCCACAGTCGGGAGCACAAACAGTCACGGTGACGGCGCAGCCGCCTGACCAGCCGGTTGTGTCCTCTCAAGCACCAGGAGGAGGTTCGTTCTCAGACATCCCGGGCTCCTCAGGCTCTGCCTCGCCTTCGAATTTGCCCGGCGTGTCTAGTGATGTCCCCGGCGCCTCTGGGGGCCAGGTGACAGCGACAGCTCAACCCTCAGCTCAAAGCAGTTTGCAGCCGTCATCTGGCGGTGGTGCTGGTACCGGTGCTGGTGGTCAGGAATCATCATCTTCTCAACCTGACGGATCCTCTCCATCCAGCCCGGGCTCGGGCGCGAATACAACCCCTCAATCAACAGTGACGGCTGTTCCCAGCGCCAGCGGCGAGTCTGATACAGAGGGACCCGACACAAATGGAAACCCCGGAGCAGTGCCGCCGTCCAATAGTCCGGTTACACCCACGGACTCTGGACAATACCCGTCCAGCACCAATGCGGATGCTCAAACAGCCTCGGGAGACCCTATCTCTGCAAGCCCATCATCTGGTGCCGGTGCTGGAGCTGGGGCTGGGGCTGGAGCGGGGACAGCGTCGCAACTTTCGTCCAGTCACCCGCCGTTCAGCAACCAAACTGCTACCTTCATCTCCTCGGGAACACGTGCATCATCCGTGACCGGTAGTCAGCCAACAGAGGATTCTGGTTCATCCCCAGCAGCAGGCTCTTTGAACACTGCAACTGCTACACCTGTCCCTGTATCAGGATCAGGTACCGCGACTATGGGCGGAAGCAGCAGCTCGGCTGGCAGTGGTGCTGGCAGTGGTAACGGCAATGGAAGTGGTAGTGGCAATTCCGGTTCAGCAACGGGATCTGCACAAGCTCCTGGGGGGACAGGCACAACCAACCCCTCTAATGGCGGCTCAGGAGCGGGTGGCTCCCTCACTTCGGGTCCCTCAGGGGCGGTTAGCAGTGGACAGCCTGTCGGTGGTACTGCGTCTGGTTCACTTTCGAACAGTCAGTCGTCGTTGACTTCAGGGTCACCCATATCTGGATCCTTTGGAGGATCACTGACTGCCACTTCCGTATCTGGCTCTGGATCACCTACCACCCTGCCCGGCCTTCCGTCTGGAGGGACTTTGACACAAGACCCAAACAACACTCGCCCAGGCTCTGCCGTTTCTACAGGCCAGGTAAACGGCGGAACTGGTAGTGGTGGTGAAGCTTCTCATACAGGGCCGTCTGGGTTCGTAAACGGAACCATGCCAGGAGCTAGTTCTTCTTCTGCGCCCACCGGTGCTGGATCGGGCGGTGCTGGTACCGGTGCTCCGATATTCTCAGGATCCGGAGCTACTAGTCCCTTCCCGACAGCAACCCCAGTGAGTTGTGATAGGTGGATCGGTGTCGAGATCATTTATATGATTGAGGAGATCGAGGTGTGTCCTGAAGGGGCTACAGGTAAGTCAGCCACAGTCCCAGAGATATTTTAGAGTGCTTTATACTGACATAGAGTGGGATCAGTCACGACAACAACGACCTCAACCACTGCCACCATGTCTCGGCCTATCTGCCAAACTTCAGCAACGAACCTCCCATGTTACCCTTGTATTATGGGGACTCATACCTCGTCTGATCATACTTTCACTGTTACTAGGGTAAGTTCCAACATCAGTAATACAGACATCGATGTGTGATTGTAACTAACCTTTGCCCATCTAGACGTCGTGCACAACCGCAACGGAGCCTACCGTAACCGTCACCATCCAGCCCTGCAACACCTGCACGACATTAACTTATACTGGAACTGTTCCTGGACACACACCGGGAGGTCCTTGCCATGCATGCAGTTCATACGGCGAACCAGACGCTACTTCAACGGTGACAGTCATTGACCCGGGTGTTGGTCGTCCTTCTTCGGAGGTGTGGTTCTCGGCGCTCAACCCAACAATCATTGTGACTCAACCAGCGGGACCGGCAGCAAGTGTTAGTAATGAGGCGGAATGTACAACATCGACTATTGTTGGAGTAGGCGGCGGATACCCAGGACCAGGCTCGGCAGGATCGGTAACGGGAACATCACCGGCTATCGTCCCGATTCATACCGATCCCCCCACACCTGGTGGTAGCGACAATGAGCACGACCCAGCTGGGTATACCTACGGTCCTCCTCCTCCTCCTCTTCACGATCCTCAGTCATCTAGTTCCGCACCAGGTGTACCGGGAGCGCCGGGGGTAGGGAGCGGAGGAGTGTCAAATGGTGACTCACATGGGCCCGCCATGACTCCAACAGCACCGGTGCCGACTCCGGACCCGGATCCGGTGATGGTCACCAATACAGCTGTTCCATATCGCCCCACAATGGCGGCCGGGCCAGAGTACAGTCCTATCTTAGCCGGTGCTCCGGGTTCCAACATCGAGGCCAGGCGTGCTGGTGCCGGGGTGGTCCTAGGGTTGCTTGGGTATATTGTGGTGATTTTGCTCAGTTGACCAAACCGATTGGTAGTCTTGAGGTCGGTTTGCCCCGCTTCAGTCACACAGTCACACTTCACCCCCACGCAAAAGTGTGGTTAGTAAATGAATGTGAGAGGCTGTCCTTTTGGTATGTCAGTCATGTTGTAATGAGATGGAGATGAGGGAGTTTCATGGTCGTGTTATTCAGAAGCGAACTGAAGCGAGGAAACATGCATACATGGTTGGCAGGGATACGGTTGTATGGGAAAATATCATGGAGAAACGAAAAAAGTCAGTCGGTAGAGTAACGTCTGTAATGTTGATACTTGTTAGTAGGACCTTGATAATATCTTTCCATGAAGAGCACTTACATGATTTTTGTGTTGGCTTCTCGTAGTGGGCGGGTAGTATTCCCGGTGGACGGTGATAAGGTACTGTGTAAGTACAAACGTAGCCAGTAGAAGGGAACGTTGGAGCCGTCAAAGGTTCTCGGCGTCGGCAAGGTGTCGGATATTGTCACACGGCGGTACCACTCATCCTAACGCTCGTAACTTTGATTGTTGGATCTGGAATGAGGGGTCGAGGTACTGTAGATATCGTCAACCTGATGTGCCGTGGCTATCCGATTCGCTTTCCTCATCTCCACGCCATTCAGCGAGTTCGTCCGACGTCTGGAGTGGGGGTGTCTGGGTGTTCGGTTCGCGCTTTGACGTCGGGTATGTATGCAAGCTGCACGCACTGTCGAGAATCGAGATACCATAATAACGGGTGAACACTCGTTGGAAATGGGAAGAGGACGGGATGAAGAGGGGTAACTTGATAGCTCGACGGGAGAAGAATGTTGATGGACTGGATGGAAGGATCATCGACAATGTCGTGAAACTTCGGCAAAGGAGGGGAAGGGAGACATGGAAGATAACCAAGGGTGGGAAGGTAGCATGTTGAGATAACGCTTGAACTCGGGTAGCTACGATGCCCTCTGTGGATGGAAAGGGGGCAAGTGGATGCAAGGGGATGCAGCTGCGAACAGGACCGGAAGCAGCAACCGTACGAGTGCACCTGTCTTACCTTACCTCTGGCGATGATAAAAGGGCAAGAGCTTCCCCCCATAATGTTCTCCTCTTCTTTCCCATTCTCTCTTCCACCGTCACCCACCTCTCTAACGCGAACCTTCGCCGTCGATTTCAAGGACTACCGTCAATACCAACACGCAAGTATCACCGTGCTTCCATACTCGGCCTCCTTCCTCCTCCCACCACATGTTGACATACTAATACCCCTATCCCAGAGATAGATAACTCAACACAAGGGTATAGACCACCCACCACCTCCACCAAGATGGCACCAACCATTTCGTCAGGAGGGGCTGAAGCTATGGACTCCCATTTGGCTGGATGATTATACCATGAGTCGATTACGTTCAAAACATACTTTCAGAGGTAACTATCTGAATGCATGAGCCGGTGCCAACTTTTCCCCTGTGTATAGGTTTGCTTCGCTTCAGCTTTCTAGCAAGAGAACGGGCAGCAAGTGACCTATACTAGGGGGAGGAGTACAGGCTGAGAATATACGGCGACGAACTTGATCTGGATAATACCAGCGAAAGGATCATGCTTCAACTTCCTCCCCCTACTTGCCCCTTCCCCTGTACAGTCATCCTAACATTCCCAGATAACCATCTACCTTATCCATCACCATGTCTCCCTCCGTTTTCGAGCCCCAGAGCGTTCCCGCTCTTGTCGATGTCGGCCTCAAGGTTGCCGGCAAGAACGATGCCACCGCCAGTGTCGAGCGTGATACCAGGGGCTTGTCCAAGCCTCTCCTCGAGCTCATGCCCACCCTCGGCACTGATGCCTTCACTTTCTCCCCCATTCGCGAATCCACTGTTTCGCGCGCCATGACCCGCCGCTACTTTGCTGACCTGGACGCCCACGCCGAGTCCGACATTGTCATCGTCGGCGCCGGCTCTTGCGGTCTTTCTTGCGCCTACGTCCTGTCCACTCTGCGCCCCGACCTGCGCATCACCATGATCGAAGCCGGCGTCGCCCCGGGCGGCGGCGCCTGGTTGGGGACAGCTCTTCAGCGCGATGGTGATGCGCAAGCCTGCCGACGTCTTCCTGGACGAGGTTGGCGTACCGTATGAGGACGAGGGTGACTACGTGGTGGTCAAGCATGCTGCTTTGTTCACTTCCACTGTGCTGAGCAAAGTCTTGCAGCGGCCCAATGTCAAGCTGTTCAATGCCACGACCGTTGAGGACTTGATCACCAGGAAGCACCATGCCGAGTCTGTGTCGTTGTCGGATGATGGCGAGGCCGAGGACGAGGCCAAGGTCAGGATTGCAGGCGTGGTGACCAACTGGACTCTGGTGTCTATGCACCACGATGACCAGAGCTGCATGGACCCCAACACCATCAACGCTCCCGTTATCATCAGCACTACGGGCCACGATGGTCCTTTTGGTGCCTTCTCTGTCAAGCGCCTGGTCAGCATGAAGCAGATGGAGCGCCTGAATGGCATGCGCGGACTGGATATGCAGTCTGCCGAGGATGCTATCGTCAACAACACGCGCGAGATTGTCCCAGGTCTGATCGTTGGCGGTATGGAGTTGTCCGAGATTGATGGCGCTAACCGCATGGGTATGTTGAGCTCTTCTCTCTTGGTTGATCGATTTGCATACTAACCTTGGGGGTAACGACAGGACCTACCTTTGGAGCCATGGCTCTCAGCGGTGTCAAGGCTGCCCATGAGGCCATTCGCGTCTTCGACCTTCGCAAGGCTCAGAACGACAAGTACTAGGCTTGTGTAGGACGTTGGAGGTTGTGGGTTAGGGAGAGTTTATATGTGCAACTTGCCAGATGTCCGAGTTGAATGTTTGCCGTCGTCGTCGGAATCAATCCGGGAAATCTTTGAACACATTGTACGATGTTTAGGCCAAACCAGTTTGAATGAAAATCGGCCACAGCCCAGCTGGGTCTAAAAAATCTTCTATCATCTCTATAAGTTGCCGGAACCGTGATATCAAACCCGTTTAATTTTGGTTGTCGTGCTGCAACGACGCCCAAGTCGATCCGCATGGTGTAGAATTGTGAAATTTTGAAGTTGTGCTGGATTTGATCGTGGAGGTACTCGTCTGGGCTAAAAACGCCCCGCGTTCGCGAATTGACCCGCCAGACCCCAGGCGAAGCCTGGGGTCGCCCAAGGGCGTTTCTAGCCCAGACGAGTAGGTATCCAAATTTTCTCGCCAGAATAGGTATCGAAATGATTGACCGGAGACGGGTGGGTGCTCAAAAGCAAATTACTATACCTTATCTGAGCCTTTGCCTTCAAATCGCTGGCGGGACAACAACAACCTCCCTCCCAACAGCTTCCAACCCCTTAACCAAGCCCTCCACCGTCCCCCTCAGCGTCTGGCAATTAACCACCACCCTAAAGAAGCTTCCCCTCTCGCCCGGCGCGTAATCCACCATGAAGCCTCTCGCAATCAGTTTCTCCACCATTTTACTCGTCCTCCGCGTGTTCTCCTCTGGATCCTCCGCCAGCTTGCCGCCAGGGGCATAATAAAAGCACACCTGCAAGCACGGCGGCGGGTTCGACGACACCAAAACAAAGTCCTTGCGCTGCGAAATTAGATCGGCCAGGTACGCAGCCATCTCAAAGGCGCCGTCGATCTGCCGCTCGAACCCGGCTGCGCCGTAGTAGATCCACGACAGCGCCAGCTTGAGCGCGTCGCCTCTGCGGCCGCACTGCAGCGTCAGGTCGGCCAGGTCCCAGACTTCTTTTGGGCCGTTGCCGTTTCCACACCCGTTTCCATTTATCAACACCTCTTCTTCTGCTGTCGTCTTCTTTTCCTCATCAATACCCTCGTCATCCCCCGCCGCCGCGGCCGGGCCATGAAACAGATACCCAGCCGGCAACGTATTCGCCTTATGAAAAACCTTGACATCATCCGTCAACAGGAACGAGCACGTAACAGGTACATTGAGCATCTTGTGCGGATTAACCGTCAAGCTCCTTGCCCTGTGCGACCCCTGCATCTTATGCCTATGCTTCTCGCTGAAAATCGCCGGCCCGCCCCAGGACCCGTCAATGTGCATCCACATGCCGAACTCGTCGCACAAGTCCGCGATCTCGTCAAGGGGGTCGTACGAGCCCATGACCGTGGTGCCCGCCGTGGCGTTGACGTAAAACGGGTGTTTGCCCTCCTGCTTGGCGCGCAGGACGGTTTCCCGGAGGGCGGAGGGGCACATGCGGCCTTGCGCGTCGACGGGGACGGTCCAGACGGATGAGGAGCCGAAACCGCATGTTACCGCGGCCTTTTCGACCGAGTAGTGCCCGTGCGCGCTGGTGAGCAGGATCAGAGGGCCCGGGGCGCCGCATTCGGTGTGGTTGTTGCCGTGGAGTTTGGAGAGAGGGAAAAGCGTGTTGCGGGCAACGACGATGGAGGTCAGGTTTGAAGCGCTGCCACCCTGGCAGGTGACGCCGCCGGCGCGCGGGCCGGTGAAGCCAAACAGGGAAGCGAACTGCTTGGCTGTGTGCTTCTCGATGACCGTCAAGGCGGGAGAGACTTGGTAGACGTGCAGGTTGGTGTTGAGGACGGAGAGGAGGAGCTCGGTGACGACGCCGACGGCGTTGGTGGAGGCGTAGAGCTTGTCCATGAAACCCTGGTCCCAGGTGTTGACGGAGTGAGAGAGGATGGACTGGATGGTTTGGAGCAGACCATCCTGACCTGCGCCCTCACCTTGCGGGAGGGATAGGGCGAGCTGCTTCACGAGCTGCTCTGGGCGGAGGGATTCGACGAGGACATTGCGGTTGTCTGGGGGCAGCTGGCCGGTGGCTCGGAAGGAGGCGGCGTTGTCTGCGTCCCGGATGAAGGGGACGATTAGGGACTTGACCGCATCAATGAGCTTTTCATGGAGACAATCAGAGTTAGTTTACTTTCTTTTTCCTTTAATATGAGATTCAATCTTATCTAATCAAGTATTTTGGTGAAAGTAAAAAATGTGGTTGAGTGGATGTTGTCCACCTCAGGGACTTCTTGAGGCCTTGGGGGGTGCAATGGGGATGAGGGGGGTTAGGGTTAGCAGTTAGGATCCTTGATTGGACTTACACGATCAACCTCGCCTGCCCTGTTTAGAGCAGACTTGTCCGTACTGTGAGTTCCGTTCATTGTTCACCGTTTGTGTTTGTGTTTGCCCCGTTAATCTCCAAATAGGAACGTGGAATCAAGAACAGGATTGGCCGGGTATAGCGGAAGAGAGAAGAAGAGAATCCATGGCCAAAGAAAGAAACAAAGCAAGAAACCGAAGGAGTCAGAGTTTTTGCACTCACCCACAGCCCCCCCATGCGTGCCGTCACATACGCCGTAAACAAGGGAACGGGTGAACCGAACCGCGGTTCACGTCTGGGCCTCACAGAAGTCAGCGGCCCCCGGTCCACCCCGAAGTTCAAGAATCCACTCTTCGTCAACGCTCCGCCGACAGCCGTTCCTTTAGCCGCAGGGCAGCCCGGAAGGCGGAGCCCGTAAATCCCGCACATGGCCGCATTGGATTTGGGAAACTTTGGCGTACAGACCCGCCGGCGACTCCTCCGTCCCCGGAGCATGGAAGTGCTGTCTTGGACAAGTGGGGATCCAATCGGCTCTGCACCCGACCTCTTCGCAATATGACCTCACCGTGGACCAATATTCATTGTGGGATTTTCATGCTCCTCTGGATCAGTAGGTAGGGCAGTAGTGTACGCTGAATGTATAATACCTCTTCAGCAAAAAAGGTGATGAATGAGGAGAGATGAAAATACTCCACCTGTACATCGGTGTTCTTAACGAGATGCACCTCTGAAATGTCGTTTGAGTGGTTTGGGATCCCCCCACGACCCCCGCTCACTCGGTACCAAAAAAAGGAATCACGAAAGAATGGCGAATGCGGCGGTGCAACCGAGGAAGGATTTCATTGCTTCGTCGTACCTCTTGCTGTTGGTGGTCACCATTGTCCATTGGCAGCTCACTAGAGGGAAAATAAAAGAAAAAAAACAGACAAACTGTGACCTGCTGTGCAGTGCTTTTGTTTGGGCCTGTTGTTGGTTTTGCATTTTATCGCGTTGGTCAAGAGAAGAGAAAAGAAGACACATCATTACCTCCGGTTTCTTCCCCCTCTCCAGAAGACACCATGACAGGCAGTGTCTTCCGGTTGTTCGGGTGTCTAGCAACGGCGACCGGCATAAAGACAACGGAAGGCAATGGCAATGCGGCCGCCCGGCGACCGGCGGGCTGTGTGGACCTTTTATCGCACATGGGGGACCTGACCTTCTCCGTTAACAGTGGGCCAATTGTTGACAAGTTGTGGGGCTCTCGCTTTGCGCATTGATATCATTTCAGCCAATCTCCGCATCGCCTCCATTCGGTATCCGTTCGCCCATCTTTTGCCCAATTCTGACATGTGACTTGTCGTTTTCAAGATGAAGGCAATCCCATTAGGTATTTTGGTTTGGTTTGCTCTGCGGCTAGTAGAAGCTAAAAAAGACGTTTGTTGTTCTGTATTCGTTGACTTGATTTCTGTGGTTTTTCCTCCAACCGAACCGTCTTTCGATGTGACAGCTTTCCCCAAAATCCCATTCAGCTGCAAGCCGGCTCCTGGGGACGCAACCACAACCCGGGCACCGCCTGCTGCATGCAATCGCAGTGCGCCATTCTGTCATGGTTGCCCTGCCGGAAGCGCAGCCGGTTGAGCGATCGTGCATTTGGGGATGGTCCCGCTGCTAACAAGCCAGTAACAAACCGCGCCTAGCGGGAAAAACAATCTGCACAAAAGAGTTTTCCATCACAGCCAACCAATCCTATCATGTCATGCTGATCCTCTCCAACTCCTGGAAAAGCAAAAAGGGGCATTTTGCAACCCCTATTGTCCATCTTAAACAGAACAAGACTCATTGTCTTTTTCGTCCAAGAAGCAACAGAAAGAAAGCGGGCGGTTGCAAGTTGCACTTGCTTCACCTAGACAGACAGACAGCTTTGTTGTGTTATACCGTAGTGCATGGCGGTTATCAACGATGAATGGCCTCCATCGCGAAATGTCCACCCTCCCTTGTCCACGGCGGAAAGGGCCAGATCCGGTGACGAGAGACAAGATCGTGCCCAAGGATGATCACATCCATGCCTCGTTGCTGTGCTTCTGTTTTCCAACCTGCCGTGTATTACAGCGTAGCAGTGTGCATCATAGCTAGCATCATCGTCAACGCCGTCTTCTTTCCGGCGAACGCCGGGGGTGGGAACAGTTGCAACTTTCCCCTGGTGACCGTCGCATTCAACGCATGAGGGCTCTTCCCCGGGAGGCCCCATCGCTGTGCCCATGCACGTCACCCCTGTGGGCATCCAATTGCGGGCAAGATGAAAGGTGGGTATCGGCCCAAATCAAATTCAATGAACTCACGAACCCCGGAAGGAACAACAAATACGGCCCATCTGGACTCTTGCTCTCTCCCACTGATATTCCATGATACGAGGAGGAGTCCATTCATCATCTTCCGTCCTCTCTTTTACATCTTCGAAAGCTGAGCCGGTTTTCTTCCCTTGGCCCTCATTGTTCCTCATCTCTCACTTTTTTTGGAGGTTTGTCAGCCAATACGGTAACTATTTTCTCAACGCCCCTCATTTTTGGTGTTCTTTTGGAAACAAAAACAAAAACATCATCACAATCCATCTTGGCCAACCACGCCACTTCTCCCTTGCGAGCCAACGCAACGACTCGACCAGAAACACTAGACTAAAACGCACACTCGCTCGCTCGTTCGTTCGTTCGCTCAGTTGTTTGCTTTTACGGCACCGCACTGCAGTTGCTACTTACAACCAGCTTATCGGACGGACTAAAAACAACCTTCTTTTTTTTCAGTTCCTTTTTGCAGTCTCTGCTTCTCGGCCTGACTTCGCCCCACACTTCCTCGCTTCTTCCTGGTTTTCCCGTCAAACGTGACGTCGAACCAAACTTTCTTGCGACGACGCGCTCGCACCTCGGGGTGAAAAATAAGGAAAGAAAAAGGAGGGATCCCACCTTGCATCATATCAAGCACCACCACTCACCAGGAACAAGGCCGGATCATCGCCCTGTCTGTGCGCCCACCCCTCCTTTCTAGGCTCGACCCAAACTTTTGTTTTATCTTGCAACCCACCTCGACCCAACCGACCTGCGACCCCTCTTATACGGAGCTGTCCTCGTCTACCATCAAATATCTTTCAGATTGCTCCCACCCAAATCATACCATTTTTTCTGACCCTCCTTTCGAAATCATATCTTACCTAAGGATAAGCCAACTTGGCCTCTCCAAATTCAATTGCAATATCAAAGCGGGCACAGCACCCCCTTTTTCCAAAGCCATTGGAATATCACATACAGAACTAGCAAGGCGTTTTACCCCCCGCTAGTTACAACACCAACCATCTTTCACCAAACAAGGCCAACGATAATTCGCCCAACAACAAAACAAAAACTTCAAAAATGCCATCCCAAAACCCCCGTAGTCACGGGCACTCGGCATCAACCGGCTCTGCCAAAACCGCCGGCACCGTCTCTTCTCCCACCCAAGGCACGCAGCAATCCCAACAACCACCGGTTCCCATCTCCATCACCATCTGCGGCGACGGCGGCTGCGGTAAATCCTCCATAACGCTCCGTCTCGTCCGTTCGCAATGGACAGAAGACTACGACCCCACAATCGAAGACAGCTACAGCATCACACGACGCATCGACGGCGTCACCTACCATTTGAGCTTAACCGATACCGCAGGCCAGGAGGAGTACCGCGGCATGTGGGCCTCGTCCAACCTGGGCGCCGACGCCTTTCTGATGGTCTACGACATCACCTCGCGCGACAGCCTCGACGCGCTACAGTACTTCAATGATCTGATCGACATGGAGGCCGAAACGAGGGCAGATAACGCGGCGAGGGCACGGAGGGCGGGGTTATCGCCGGCCCAGATTTCGGGAAGCATGTCCAACCGCTACGCGACGGGATCGAATATGGGCGGTGGAGCAGGGTCGGGAGCCAAGGCTGTTCCACCGGTGAAGATTGTGGCGGGAAACAAATGCGATTTGTCAGAGAACCGGGTGATACCAGCCGCTACGGGCTTGGAGTGGGCGAGGTCGAGGGGGTGCGGGTTCATGGAGACGAGTGCGCGCCTGGAAGTGAACATCGAGGAGACGTTTGCGCTGATTGTGAGGAGGGTGGTGGAGCAGAGGAGGCTGGCGGAGTTGGGGATTACGGGCGTTGATCAGGAGGCGGCTGAGGAGTTGTTGGGGAATAGTAGGGGGCGAACGAAGCCGTTGAGTCCGTTGCCGACCAAGGATGGGAAGGAAGGTGGGCTGGATGAGAAGGGTGGGAGTAAAAAGAAGAAGGGAGGGGCCAGCAGGTTTTTGAAGTCTCTGAAGTGCTGGTAGGACCAGAAGGATTAGTTGGATTGGGCTTGCTTGGTTCACGCTTTTGATGCTTTTTCTTTCTTTCTTTCGCTGCTAGGCAAAGCTTTTCGTGGATATGGGGGCCAAATAAGGCTGGGCCTTAAATGACCCTCAATTCACAGGATTAGGTCGGACTGGGATTGGAGTCGCTGGTTATGGTAGGCGTTTATCGGCGGTCAGCATGTCTTGTTTTCTGTCTTGTTTTCTGTCTTATTATTGCTTGCAGGCGAGGCGACTCGAAAAAGAGATCAAGATACCACACGCGGCGGTTTATTTGCCATTTTACAATTAGCTTCATTTTCTGGTCATGTCGTTTTCTTCCCCCTTCCCTTACTGTTTGACTGAAGCGACCATTGATGATGGATTGTGATTGGATTCATGGGCATGGTTGGCAGAAAAAGAAGTGAAATGTATATACAGTAAGGAATTCTTGGTCTAGGTCCTGGTTCATCATGAAATGTACCTGATATCCTGAAACTTGAACTGACTCCCATATCGTTTCCATATGCTTGGAGCCATAGACAACGCAGAGGGTATTTCAAACATATGATTGTGTCTTGTTGACTTCAAAAGTTGTAATGTGATGCATATCTCTCTCTACAGGGCTACGTTCTTCGAGGTTGTCGGTTTTCGGCCTTCTCTTGTCGGCTTGCATTCTTCTATTCTTGACTGTGCTTGTCTATCATGCATGACTCCATGTCCTTTCTTGCCCAACCATATCATCGTCCAGTTCTTTGCATCGGTATTGAAATCTCTTTCTTTCTAGATGGTGGTGTATGAACCTCTCCCGATATGCCCTAGATAGACTCCTAAGAAGTCGACGCTCGTGAAATCCCCCCCATTCTGTCTTCTGAACTGTGCTCCTACTACTCTGGTTCTTCATTGAAAGCGTGTCGCGCGCGCGCGTACTTTCCTTCCCATCAATCACCATCTACGCCCCATGCCTCTACAAGTACGCCAAACACCTCGTCGGTTTACCAGTACTCCATATGCTCCAGCCCGTAACTCCTCGACCAAACCAACCCTTCTATGATCCATGCAATTCCCCCTCCTCTTAACGTTCACTCCGCCGCCGCCGCCGCCCTCTTCTCATCCACCCAATCCCTCCAAGCCTTATACTCCTCGTACTTCAACTTCTCCTTCTTCCCCTGATACCTGACCACCCGCAACCTCCACCTCCCTCCACCGCGCCTTATTTCCCTCCCACCCGGCCTTGCGCATCAGGCTCACCACCGTCTCCTCCTTGGTCCACCCTTGCTCCGGCGCCACGTCCGGCAAGTAAGTCGCGCCGTACCGGCGGCCGCGATACACAAAGCTGATGCGCAAGCCGTGCTTGCCGAGCTCCCAGTCCATGGCGTCGGCGGCCGGCTCGAAATCGGTCAGAAGCGTCACGGCCACTTGCAAAGAAGGCAGCTCGGCGCGGCTGATGGGGTGGAAGCGCGTGTCTTGCAGAGCGGAGGTCAGGGCGTACGAAGGCAGGCCGGAGGATAAGGGCTGCGATTCGAAGGTGCCGATGCAGCCGCGGAGGGAGACATTGTCATCATTGTCATCGTCATCGTCATCATCCGATGAGGAGTCATGATGGACGACGTTCCAGGTTACGAAGAGGGGGGATTCGTAAACGGGTGCGGGTGCTGAAGGCGGTGCGGGGGAGGCGGAGGAAGCAATGGATGTGGCAGGCGTGGAGATGCCGGATTGGAAGGTTGTGTTGCTGTTGCTGCTACTGTTGCTGCTACTGGTTGTGGCGAGGGATGTTGAGGAGGAAGACGATGATGATGACGGCAGTGTAGCCTCAACCAGCCTACGGAGCGCGGGGATTTGGGGGGCTTTGCTGCTGGAAACAGCAGTAGCTTCTTTGTCGTCGTCGTCGTCATCAATGGTGTTGTTGATGTATTCGGCCCATGACTTTTCGATTTCCGACAGGCTCATGGGCTTGCGACGCTCATGGTAGGCGACGAGGGCTTCGAAGCAGCAGAGACAGTGCTCGACGGTGGCCATGGTGGGAGGAGGTGGGAGGAGGGGAGTGCGTTTCTTGGCGAGAACGTGGCTGTACAAAAACGTCTTGACGGCGTCGGTGATGCTGTAATAGCTGTAGGAATAATAATGACGGTAGAGCAGATAGCGACTGCTGATTGGGTGTATGTTTCTGGTTCTGCAAACTGGTGATAGTCACATTTAAAAGGAGGGGGAAGAGGTTACCATGCTCTTCGAAAGGAAGACAACAACGGAGAAAAAGGAAAGGAAGAGGATAACGACGTGCGGGGGGTGGGGGACGATAGGACCGTCAAGCTTGGGCTGTAAGTGGAAGTGGAATGTGTGCTGTGCAGGCAGGGTGGGTGTGCCTCCGTCCACAGCGGCGTGCAGTCGTCAGCCAGGTAGGGCATCATCAGCACGAGCGGTAGTCAGGCGGATGGAGCCGTGGCTGAATCATCCATCCGAATTCCAGGCCAAGGATGACCGCCAGTCAGGAAATGGTGTGGTCACCATTCTTGAGTCGTTTTCCGGGTCATGGTTTCTAAGCACAAACGGAAACAGATGATGAATGGAAGAAAGGTGTCGAAAGCGAGGGGTAACTCGACGGGTCTCCGGTCAACGACAGTGGCCACTAATCCAGGGTGGGACAAGACAGCAGGGATTGAGGGGGTTGCTGCTGATGGTTCCCTAACATCGAAGTCTTTCTCTTCAATCCCGTCCTTGCTTCGATGGATGACTATTGTCTGAATTTTGATCCATTTGGGTGCATTGGATGTTCTCGTTCCAAGAGGTCCGGCCTCTCCACGCTCATCATTTATCAGAGAGTTATAAGGTAGTCAATCCAGAGCGACAATGACTTGCAACTGTGAAGACAACAACAGCCACCTACATAAGTCCAGGTCATCCATTTAGAGTTGAGGCACCGAAGCATGTTAGCGTCACCTCGACAGTGACCTGTGGAGCTGACGGGTTTCAGTGGATCTCGGTGGATCTCGGTAAGATCCACCACAACAGCCATCAAGGTCTCCCCAGACTCTTGTCATCAGACGATCCAGAGGATTCTGGACCTTATCGATAAGTCCTCTTGACTTCAGGCTTCACCCGTGGGCTCTTCTAGCCTTGAACGGATCACAAGTCCAACCCTGCGGTCAAACTTCCACGATAAGCGTACGAATGTCCCAGCGTCGAATTCTATCGATGATCTCTCTCGGGCACTTTGGCAACGTGTGCGGTATACGCAACGCCTGCGAGTCTGGCAAGTGATTCTGGACAACGTCAGTGATTGGAGTTGACGTGGGCTTCGAAACAGCGACAAAGTCTCGCAGAGCCGAAGCTGTGGAATGTCAAAAGCAACTGGTGACTGTCACCCGCTGGTGTGCTACCTTGATATACATATGCCGGTATCTATCGACTGTGCCACATGGCCTCCAAGTATGGAGATAGTGGACAAATTGTGGCTCCCGTATTTCATCCTGTGCGGTCGTCGCACGCTTCTATACAATAAACCTTCTCCCCTATCAGTATCACGGTCCGACCAAGGAGAGCCCTGCTCTACGCCTCTGCCACTTATGCGATCGACTCCTCTCATGGCGTTCATCCGTTAGAAACTGAGATGGGAAAGTTGGCGAATATCAAACAGGATTGACAGCTCGTTAATGCTAGATGTTCTAGGCTCTGACAGGGGGAAGCCAGGGCTGCAACACGGAACCCCGGAAGAGGCCCGTCACGGTTTGATGTGCAAGCCACCGGGGCTCTGGGGCAGCCATTGCAACATCTTAACCGACCGGAGTTCCAGAATATCAGTTTCAGCCCCCTGCGACTATAAGGATAGAGGCTGGGTTGGTACTGCGTGTTGGATCCTCGCTGCAAATGTTCCAAATGCAAAAAAAGTCCAGAGTCTTGGTCTCACTGAATCCTACGGAATCCAGCCTTGGAAACCTGATCAATTTGGACGGTCAAAGACCGACTACTTCTGGCCTAGGTAGAGTAATGATATTACCAGTGCAATGCCTGAGTTGGAAGATGCGGAGCAAGTGTCGAATACTACAGACCTTTCCCAGTAGTAAGCCCGCAGATCACCGTTGTGACGGTGTACTGGAATCGGCTCTTACTCAAGGTCCAGACTGCAAATAGCTGCCAACCGCGATTATGATCGAATTCCCGGACCCTAGAACCACCGAAGCTTCAGTTCCCCCTTCAGTTCCGTCCCAATTCAAGAGAAAGTTGGCGTCTCTGGATTACCGTGGATAGGAACCCTTGCCGCGTTTCAAACAAGCTTCTGGGGAAGTGGATTAGCCGCTCGGCTACCACCTTGTACTCAACCCGAAGGCAGTGCTTTGTATGAATCGTATCCTGAAACGCATATCGTTCACGAAACCAAGCAGATCTCGACCACGAATTCATAATGTTTCTGGACACAATGCTACAAATAGTCAGCAATAGCCATCAATGGATCTGACTTTGGACCAGTCTTACTCATCGCCCTCGTTCAGTCTGATATCCGCGCCGTTCGCTTCAATTCCAGTCACTCTCAGTCTCTTCTACCATCGTCGCCGGCCGACTCTTTACGACTTCTCTAACGTTTATATATTCGCCCAACACTTGCTTTTTCCTAGCTAATCAACGTCGACGACACTCTCACAATGAAGCTTATTAGTGCTGTTGTGCTCGCCCTCGTCTCTGTGGCTATGGCTTATCCCACCGGCATCAGCAATGGTGAGTAAGCCAAGCTCATGTGGAAGTGTGATTTATTCACGACACTAACATAAGCGGCAGCTCAACTTGTGAGACGTCAGGACCTTCAGCATGACGTTGATCCCAGTGTACCGGCCATGTCAGATGCCAGCGGTAACGTCGTGCCATTCAGCAGCACTTCTGTTTTCAAAGGTGCCGCTGCCAACGGACAATGAGGCTAAGGAGCGAAAATGAAGGAAACAATACATTTGTACGCCGATGCCCACAGGGCAGGGCTAGTGGGGGAAACAGGGCATCAAGGAGCGTCATGGCGTGTCCGGGCCAAGCTCATAAGGGAGAGGCTGTAATGAGGATGCTCAACCACCACAGGACGGAAGTGAGGATGGCCTAGGAAGTTGATCTTGCTGGGCGCTTCGCTGTGAGGCTGGCGTCCCTTGCGGGCTCCAGGACTGAGTAGTGTAGACCGCCATCATCTGCCTATAGCCGATGCCATGATCGAACGGGGCGGCGATCATGGAGAATCCAGGTCAATGCAGGGCAATTGGGTGTTTTGAGGTTTACAATAAAGAATGGACACTTTGGTTTTGCAGAGTTTCTCGCATCGAATCGATGTCAGACAAAAATTGGCTGTTCAAGAGAAAGTGACAAATGACCGACCGCTCCAAGAAATATGAATATTTGGCCGCCCTCTTGGATTATTTTCTGTAGCGTGAGTGGGTCTCACAAGCTGTCGCTTCCTTCCTTGAGGCGCAGCCGGCAGGCAACGCTCTTTCTATCCGATCATTGGTCAGTCTGGCAACTTCGCTCGCGCTTGGTTTTATTTTTGGACCTCTCCCTTCCTTTCCCGCTTCCTGCGCTTGTAATCACCACGCATCCTCCAATCCCCATATGCACGACAACTCATTATAATCTAGACAACCTCAAATGAGAAATCCACGATGTCGGGCAATATGAGCTCTATCTTTTCGCCAAACGGGTAATAATCGCGACAAGCGCTGGAGGCAGCGCTGTTGGTTCCTAGAGTGTACGGGTCCATTTTGTGACCATGTCGTCGTCCACTTGTCGACGCTTTCCCACCACCCTCTTGTCCTCTGAGTCCTAATGCTCACTAGCTCATGCTTTTTAGCCCACTTGGGCATGCATGCACTTTCACAAACCCAATCAGGAAGAAGTGGCTTCTATCGATCTTCCTGTTCCTTGCTTTGCCATGGAGCGGCCGCGAGACAGCCACCGCCTAATCTGGGAACACTGATACAGCCCAGCCAACGCTTTCCGAGACAACGAACCCAGAAGGACAAACGGGGGCTTGTCTCCATGAGCCAGTGGACCTCTGCGGTTTGTTCCCTTTTGAGCCCTAAAGGAATCCACTTCTCAGCTCCTTCTCGTTGGGTTGCCGGGTGCTGAGCTGCAAAGAGGTACGGATAAAATGCCGAAGCGTTCTCCTCCGACAAATATCTTCCCTCCGCTCCTACCGGCGGATCCGGAAAGAAAATGCCTTTTAGCTGCCAACATACCTCCGCCGATCTCATTATACGTTACCGACTTTCACTGCCACTTTTGGGATAGTTACCGGGGACCTAGAAGTGGGGTGGCCGGCATCAATGGGACAGGATACGCGATCCACGCTCATGAACAGCGCTCCATGACCTCGACCAACAATCGCATTCTTCACTCACACCTACACGCGTTTATACGTCGGGGCATCTTGCATGCAATAATCGACAATATCCCACCATGACTGTGAACCTGGACCAGGTGCTGTTCGCACGCGCCGAATGGCGCATTCGCTTCCTCGTACCATGTTGGATAATGCAGGTTGGGGTTCTTCTCAGCCTGGTTGGACTATTTGCCTACCGACTCTCCGTAACCTGTCACACCTACGACGACGAGATTTCTCATGGCCGGGATCCTATAGTTCAAATAGTGTATGTCAGGAAACACTCTACGTATCAACACTCTTCCGCCAAACAAATGGCGCGCTAACACAAAGGCCCTTTCATTAGTTGGGAATCCATCCAAGTTGGTTTCTCCTTCATCTCTGTAGCTCTCACGGTAGCGGAACTATGGAAGGCGAGGTCTGAGGCGCTGACGCCCTTTTTCATGCTATGCACACATCTCATGAAATCCACACTGGCCAGCGGAATGCTGGGCTTAGATGCTGCCGTCTATGTGAGATATCCGGACCGCCACTACTCCATAGTTGGCTTGGCTATGGATTGCATCCTTCTGTAAGCACAGAGCGCCGTCTTGAATGTTGTGAATCTGCTAGGCTAACGTTTGATCCAGTGGCACAACACTTATAGTGCTCTTCTACGCTTTTTACACATATCGTCGCCTCTTAAAGTTCGAAGCCTACGACCTGGCCTACAACAAATCAGGAGGCTATAGCTACAGCAACGCCCGTGGGCCGGAAAAACTAGGCTATACCGTCAAAATATGGGGCGGAAAGAAGAACAACACGAGGGAGCCGTCGCCAACACCCGAGGCGTTGAAATCCAAAATAGACCAGGCAATCGGCGCCGAGTTCGGCTGGGGAAGCCGTCCGTCGGGCAGCGTTACGGAGCGTTCCGGCATAGTTGTTGCGGCCGGATCGGTTCAGAGCGGCGTGCCCACCCGACCGGCAGAGTTGCACAGGGCCCAAAGCTGGGTCACCGAGACTGGAGCGGTGGGCCCGAATACGTCCGAAGATCATCACATTGACGCGAACGAACAAAGGAAAACCGAGGACGATTACCATGATTATTATGAACTGGCCAATGCGCGCAGTCTAAGCATTCCGACACTGGTGGTGACTCCCGAGGGCGAAGAGGGAGATAGTGAAGCGTTGCTGACGGGACGGTGGGGAAACGCTGGGGGAAGTAGATAAATGGTGACAGAAAGCCGTGTGACGTTTAGAGGGTTGCGGCGTCGTCGCAATTGATGGAGCGGTGCTTTGGTGGCATATGTTGGTTTTATGTTTTTATACCCTTTTGCTCTTAATGAAATTGCATATTATCGTGCTTTTGACCTTGATCATAATAACGGCTCGGCCTGAGGGAACTACCACCGACCGCAATGTAAAGGAAGTACCTTAGCCGTACATCAACTACTACATAGGTTGTGTTGATTTACTCTATGTAGACTCCAGATATCATCGTTTGTCTGATGGCGCAATGCATATGCCATCCATACTTCATCATCTACCTTCACATTCAACCGTTCTAACCTCAGCAATAGTGTCGGCAGCACAACGCACCAACTACCAATGCTCTTTTGCGGTCGCCCGCAAATGTAAAAAACGACATTGGTTTTTTGACTTTCCTTTTTATACATCACTCTTCTCCGCCTTCCAACCAACAAGTAACTGGAAATGGATTTATTATGTGGAAAATCCAGCATTCATGTTTATGCCACAAGCACAGACGGGAAGAAAGGAAAGCAGAGGCGGGAAGAAAGGAAAGCAGAGGCGGGAAGAAAGGAAAGCAGAGACGGGACGGCAGGCACTGAATCTTGCTCCCAACATGCCCCAAACAACCGGCACGGCTGGTTGGACTCAGCTTCACAATTGAAAAAAAAATAAAAAAAAAAAAAAGAAAAAAAAAAAAAAAAAAAAAAAAAAAAAGAAAGAAAAAAAAAGAAGAAAAAAAAGACAATTAGACCAAGTTAGTAGGAAACGCAACCTTGACGCCATCACGATCAGCTATTGCCAGTTGTGGAACGCACCTTGACGCCATCACGATCAGCTGGCGCCATGAGAACGTCAAGTGGGGAGGCTTGGATGGCTTGGTGGATCAGCCCTACAGCACGGCTGATGCGTCTTTTCTTGGCCGTGTCTTGGCTGGATGTAACTCAAGCCAACCAGCCATCATGCCGACCAATCGTCAAAATGGTTCAGGGAGGGCATCTGACGTCCCAACGGGGATAATCTTTTGGGGTTCAGCCAATTTGTTGGAAGGCTTCATCAATCATCGTGCACTGTTGGCCCTGCAAGAACGGGCGGGAACCGCGTTTTGGATGCAACCGCCAATTGGGCGCCAAGTTGCCGAAACAAGGCCAACTCAGACTCAGCCTTGGTCAGATCCATCCATTTCTTAAGTACCCTCCTGACGCCAGCCAGACTTGCTAGGCGTGGACTGAGTGGATGTCATCATTCAGCCGAACGGAGTCGACTTGGATCGGAGTTGGTGTAACCATAAAAAGGCTGCGCTAGTTCTACACAGGATTTGATCCCTTCTTATATGGCCTCTTTTAGTCTTCTTCATCACTGACGATGCCAACTCTTCTCGTCATATCTTGCTTCACCATCGTGGCCATATTTGCCTCACTCGCATTCATGGCGTCCAAATGGCGAAAGGCGGAGACGCCTACCTCCAACAACACAAAGTTCTTTGGCTCTCAGATCGGGGAGCAGTCGGTCATCAACTACAGCTATACGGATCGACCGTTGAAGTTGATGGCCTTTGATATCTACTACTTCTTCAAGTTCATATGGGCTCTTCCCTACGTCTTGATTCCCCTGTCGCCATCGGATTCAGGAGACTTGGATGAGCTATCCATCACGCGGGGAAACCTGTTCTGTGTTGGTCTTCACGCGGTGCTTGTTGTGTTGCAGCTGGGTTTATCGTGACCCTCCCAACACTAATCCTATTCCCAGTTTGGGCTGCTGCCTTGGCTATCGGGCTGTTTATGCTTGTCAACTACTGGCTTTGCACTCTGCTGAACGGAACGGAAGTCGAATACCATTCCGATCCCAAATACGCGCCAGCGCTTCCTGAGCATGCCCATGAACAATGGATCTTCATCAACGGTGTGGCAGTAGGGTAGGTCAACCTGGCTGAGATTTGGTCTCACAATCCCCCACGGTTCATGAGCGAGCTGAGCTAACAAGATGGTAGAGAGCACTGGATGCAGAGTAACCTTAACCGACTAGCCATAACATTCAAGCGCCCCATCCTTGGGATACACAATAAAACGTGAGTCCCTATACCGTCTCGGGAACTCTTTGTGTCACTCTTAAGCTCACCGATCCAGTGCCGGAATCCTATTCGATGTCATCGAATGTCTCGTCCAACGCAACCTCGGCTACGCCACAGCAGACGTGCGTGTTTGCTACCGGATCATCAAGGAGAAGCTCTACAACCCGCAGTACTCCAAGGTCATCTTCGTCCTGCATTCCCAGGGTGCCATCGAGGGAGGCATGATCATTGACTGGCTTCTGCAAGAACTACCCCAAAACCTGCTTTCAAAGCTGGAAGTCTACACGTTCGGAAATGCCGCCAACCACTTCAACAACCCGCATCGGAACATCCAGTCCCAACACAAGGCCATCAGCAACCCTCTGGCGGCATCCACCGACTCCACCAACACGACAGCGGCAAGTGGGAACATGGAGCAAGCCCAGGAAGCCCTGTCCGACAACCAACCCCTGACCAGCGAAACATCCCCACAGGCACAGCAGAGGACCACAACCACGGGTACCACTCCCGCAGCTGCAGGTACAACCACGGCGGCGGCGGCAAAGGACACCTACACTACCAACGGCGAGGATCCCTCCTCCTCCTGGGTAGAGGAGCCCAGCATCCCCACCCTCACTTCCGAAACCAGCGCCAGCACCCCCTCAGCCGTCTCGGGCCGCGCCATCGGCCACATCGAGCACTACGCGCACACAACCGACTTCGTCGCTTTGTGGGGGATCCTGCACTTTGCCACTTCCATTCCCGGGCAGCACACCATGCCGCGCTTCATCGGACGGGTGTTTGCTCGCACCACGGTCCGCGGCGGCCACCAGCTTTGTCAGCATTACCTTGATGGCATGTTCCCGCTCGAAAAGGACCCCAAGACCGGTGCTTTTGTTGGCGCCTCGGAGAACGAGAATGAGTTTATGGAGAGCGAGATTACGGTTGGCGAGGCGGGCAGCGAGATGACAGCTGCTAAGGAGGCGATGGAGATTAGTTGGCTTGCTAATGGGATTGGTGGGAACGGGAGTGCGGTTGATGGCGATAATGTGGGAGGGGTTGCGGTTCATGGTGGCCATAGCCCTACCGTGGAGCGAAGAGGAACGATGAGGTTGAGGAGAGGAGAGAGTAAGCCGGCTAAGGTGAAGGTTAAGGATTTGAGTAGGTTGTGGCAGTACAGGAACGGGAGGAGTCCGGATGATAAGCCAGTGCTTAGGACTGCGACGGTTTAAGGTCGTTGTGGGAGGGGGAAGCATCGGATCTTGGGCCGGCGTTTCCAGCCGTGATTGGAGAAGAGAAGGCTATGCTGGGTGGAATGAGTAGATGCAGAGAAGAAAGTGATGAGACGGATCAAGTGAAGGCGGAATGGAAGGGCAAGACCCACCAACGGAAGTTCCAACAGGCACACCGACCGGTACGGTCCCCAGCTGTTTATTAGTGGCAGGCAGGATCAAGGTACTGCCGTGACTGATTGGGACTTTATAAGCCTCGGGTTCAGACGTTCCAACAACTCCCAGTAGCCTACCTAGTAGCGCGTTGGTTGAGTACGAAAATGCCCCAGTAGCCTACGTGGTAGGTGTGCTGCTTGAAGTGGTGTATTCGTAAGTTGGCGCCGGGTCTCGAGTTCGACTCCTGACCACGGGGCCATCCGAGCTTTTTGCTTTTTTGTTTTTTTGCTTTTTTTCGTTCCTGAGTCGGCTTCCTTCTGGTCTTTCTTTAACGGACAATCATAATCGCGTGTATCTTTTTGCTCCAGACGTCTGTTCATGCAGAGCAATGATGCTGGATTGTTCTTCTCTTGGGTGATGGTTGGCGTTGGACGGGGGTCAAGAGACGCGACGCGGGATGAGTGTCGTAGTTGGAACTTCCAACGAACGGACTTGGATCAAGGGTCCATCTATAGAGGAGTTTTGCTAAATTAAAATGGTATTTCACCGTCAATGTTTCTTTCGATGAATCTTTCACTGATGTTGTGAAGCCATCGGTGATGATCAACAACACTCGCTGTCCAGATAAAGGTCAGGGTTAGGGTCTAACCAACAACGCCCCCGATGACAGCCAAACAAACAGAACCCCACCACTGTCTCCCATTTTGGGCATTTAGCTCCGTCATTTCAGGTTCAGCACCCAATCAAAATTAAGAGAGAATCCATCTTGGCAACCCAAGCTCCCAAGGTCCTCGCTCAGTGATAAGATAACGAAACTTTTTATTTGGATTCTAGCAACTTCATCCAGCACCCATCATCATCTTCTCCACCCCGCACCTCTTTGCACCACTCTACACCACACCGATCGACCGAGAAACCGAGCGGCCGGCAACATGGGCAAGAACAGAAAGTCAAAACGCCAATTGGTGCGCGACGAGAAACGTGCCAAGAAGAGAGGATTGGAAATTGAACACGAAGAAGAGAGAGACATCAAGAAGCAACGCCGCGAAGAGGAAGCCCACCAAGACGCCTTCGCTCCCGTCACCGACGCCGGATATGTTCCTCCTCCCCTCGACGGTACCTACGACGAGAATGCGTTCCCAGGTGGCCCTGAGGAGGGCCGTCGCAATGGCCCCAACACCAACTTCGAGCGCGAGTTCTTCGGCATGCTCGCCGAACAGGAGCAGGAGTACTTCCGCCACGCCGACGAGCTGCTCGAGCTGAATGACTTCCCCTCCACCGAGGAGCGCGACATCTTTTTGCAGAACGTATACAAAGAATTGCGCGGCAAGGAGCTCAAGGTGGCCAGCAGTCAGTCATGCTCGCGCCTTATGGAACGCCTGATCCTGCTGTCCAACACCCGCCAGAAGAAGAGCCTGTTCGACGCCTTTGGCGGCCATTTCATCTCGCTTGTCACCCATCGTTTTGCCAGTCATTGTTGCGAAAAGCTTTTCTTGCAATCCGCGCCCGTCGTCACCCAGGAGCTGAGCGGCGAGTACGAGCAGGAGCCCCTGCCAGAGGGCGAGGAGGAGACGGAGGCCATGAAGTCGTCAATGGAGGATCTCTTCCTCCTGACGCTGGACGAGTTGGAGGAACACTTGGGGTATTTGCTCACTGACAGGTTCGGCTCGCACGCCATCCGTGCGCTGCTCGTCATCCTTTCCGGAAGGCCGCTGGATCAGGCGGGTACAAAGAGTATGTTGCAGAGCAGGAAGAAGGAATACATCACAGTGGAGGGCGCTGCGGCAAACCAGAGTGAATTGAGCTCCCAAATCAGAGCGGTGCCTTCGTCGTTTACCATGGCGATCAAGAAGATCATTGACGATTCCACAATGACAATGGATGCTACGGCATTGAGGGTGCTGGCGAAGCATCCTACCGGTAACCCGACACTGCAGCTGCTCTTGGAGCTGGAGCTGACCATGTTCGTGAAGGGCAAGGAGAAGAAGGAGAAGAACAAGCAGAAGAAGGACGATGAAGAGGCGGAGGAAAAGAAGGAAGAGACACAATCCGAGGTTACGCTCTTGGGCATGCTTGTCCCCGACGCACCCGCCGCATTTGCCGATAACACCACCCAGGCCGCCGAGTTCGTCAACTCCATGATCTACGACCCGATCGGTTCCCGACTTCTTGAGACACTCATCACCCACTGCCCTGGAAAGATTTTCAAGGGTCTCCAGCAACACATCTTCGGTCCCCGTATCCAGAGTCTGCTCCGCAACGATATCGCCTGCTACCCCGCCATCAAGGTTCTCAACCGTCTCAGCAGAGAAGATCTCGCTGATGCCGTTGAGAAGTCCTTGCCCGAGATGGCAAGCTTCGTCGACAAGGGTCGCTTCAACGTTATCAGGACCCTTTTCGAGCGCTGCCACATCCGTAATGGAACTGATGAGATCAACGCCCTTCTTAAGGCTCTTACATCTGCTTACGGCAACGACTGGAAGAAGCTCGTGCCTAAGCTTTGCATGCTCGATGAGGATGTCGTCGAGGAGGAACAAAAGCCAGACGTAGAGATGGCCGAGGAAGGAGGAGAGGAAAAGGAGAAAAAAAGGAGGAGAAGAGAAGGAGAAGCTACAGCCCAAGTTCCAAACACAAGAAGCCAAGAACAAGGCCTTCATGCTCAACCACGGCTGCCAACTCGTCGCTGCCCTGCTAGCCATTCCCGGCCAGCCTTCAAAGGCCATCCAAGCGTCACTTGCCGCCCTTAAGCCGGCACAGGTCATGAAGATGGCCACGACCTCTCACAACACCTCTTCGATCCTCGTCAAGGCTCTCCAGACGCCTGCCACAAACCCGACCTTCCACAAGGTCCTCGTGTCGTCTCTTCTCCCCCACGTTTACGAGCTCGCCACCTCGCAACAGGGCTCCGCCGTCCTCAACGAAATCATCTCTCTGCCATCCAAGCCGGCCGAGCCCAACGCGCCTGCGGTCCCCTTCCACATGAAGGAGAACATCATCTCGCAGCTTGCGAACTACGAAAGTGAGCTCAGAGAGACTTGGCTGGGACGCAACGTGTGGCGGACGTGGAAGGGCGACATGTGGAGCCACAGACGCCATGATTGGGTCAGGTGGGCGAAGGAGACGGACCCGGAGACGGCGAGAGTAGCGGCGATCCCCAGGAAGAGGGAGGAGAAGGAGAAGGAGGAGGCCGAGAAGAAGCCGAAGGGATATCTTGGAAAGAACTTTGATCCCAAGAAGCTCAAGGGGTTTGCGGCGAAGAAGTTTGAGAAGAAGGAGGCGGAGGCATAGAAGAAGGAGCGAATGAATCCGGGCCGCTTGGTAAGAGCACCGTATCGATGAAGAGAATGCTGAGAGTTGATTGATATGATACCCTATGGGATGACAAGATATAGTTTTGAAAAGTTCTTGTACAAATTTAGTCTACTAGTGTGCGCCTTTCCCATGCTCATCTTCGCGGAGATGAAGAGCGATGTTGGCTAATTGGAGTTTCACACGTAGGCAAAATACCGATCGAGTTGAAAGAAAGATTTATATATATCCAAAAACAAAAACCAGGTCTATATGCATCGGGTATCCTACAGCGCCAGTCCAAAGACGTACATCTAAAGGCAACTAAGCCAAACAACCTCTCTTCAAGATCAATAATCCGCCAGAGCCTCCTGCAGCCTCTCCCTAGCCCTCTCTCCCGCTCCAACAGCCGAGGGATCATGCGGTCCGCCCGCGATCTCATCACAACTACACAACAGCCCATGGCCATTGAAATAATCATCCCCGTAATAGATACAAAGCTCATCGCCGCTCTTCAACATCTTGTTCGCAAAGAAGGCAATCACCCGCACTTTCCCAATCTGCATGATCCTCTCGCCCACATTCGGATCGCAGCTCGAGTTCATGAAGCGCGTCCAATTTCCCATCTTGCTCGCATCCACAAGTGGCCGATCGGCATCCCACTCCAGCCCAACCTGCAGCTCATAGAGGTACCTGTTGTCGGCATCCTTGCCCTTGGTCTTGGGCGGGCCGGGGATGATCTCGCCGACATAATGCCCGAGATACGACCCCTGGGGGATCTCGTAGCGGCCAGTGCTCTTGACGAAGATCCCGTACCCCTTATCGGCGCTGCCCGTGTGGCGGATCTCAAGCCACTTCTTGAAAAAGGTCTTCATCCCCTTGCTGCCGTAGCCGGAATGGATCGCATCGTAACAGTCCACCCGCAGGCGGGATCGTCGGGGGTTGCAGCCGCACTCGAAACGGTGAAGCAGGCCACGCCCTGGCTGTCGACGGGCTCGGCGACCGCCGCGCGCGCGTGGTCCGTGATGCAGCCGGACTTGGAGTCCTGCTCTGTGGCCGGGAACTTGGTCAGGCGCGGCCGTTGCGGACGGCCCGAGACGGTCCAGCGACGAGGGTCCGCGTAGAAGGATTCGATTTGCTTGCAGACGGCTCCCGGGATGATCTCGCGGACGGTGCGCTCGAAGTTCCAGGCTTCGAAGGGCGTCCATTTGGGGCCGTGGCCGAGCTTGCCGCCTTTGGTGACGCGGTTGGCCTTTTTTGGTGGCATTCTTTTGGTCTTTCTTTCTTTCTGTTGCTTTCAAAGTAAGGTATTACTAACTAGTGCTCGAATGCTCCTTGCTGGTGTATAGCTTTTGTTTATTGGTTTCTTTTCCCCTGAATGTTGGAGATGTGTGAGCTGTTGAACTGAACGGTGAACAGAGCAGTTAACATCGTGATACTGAACAGCCCGTCCCGATCTTATAGTTTTTCCCTGAAGCGTGTTCTTCTCGGCTCCGTGACTCTGTTCGTCAAAGAAACTCGAGTTCCCATGATCGCAAGTTCATTGTTCTATATTTTTGACTCGTTAAAGGCTTTTGAGCATGGTGGATAAACCCCGATCCGGCACTCGCACAATGACTGAGGTAAAGGCCATTCTCTTTGTGCAGGTCGAGGATGGGAGTCCAGTTTCCATTCAAGATATCCGAATAACCATGGACCATCGACAAGTGCATTGTCGACGACAATGAATTCCTTCGGTCCTCGAACAAGAGTCCGTCGGCGTAAGAAAAAGACCATTGCTGAATGCCTTTGTCGCAGACGGCATGGCCCATTGGCACCCTTTCTCGCCGAGCTTCTATAGAGCACACACTCTTTCACACACCAAAAGTCTTAACCACAGCAATAACACAGCACACCCAAGTCCCCAAATCCGTAGTCAGCCCACGGATAGCGTTAACCCTCAACCACCTCCTCAGCTCTGCCACCGACTTCCCTTTTTGCCCTCGTCCGCAACAATGGCCTGAATCCTCGGCGCCACAGCTGGAACAAAAGCAGATGTCCCGCAGCCAGCGCCGCCCCGGCCACATACCAGTAGTAAGAACCCCGTTGCTTGAGTAATAGACTCTCTGTAGTGCAGAGATTGACTGTCGCTGTCGCCACGGTGACCGAGAGAAAAGCCAACATGCTCGGTAAGCCGGCGCGGAAGAAGGCGGAGAACCATTTGGGCAGGTATTGAGCGCTGTCGCGCTCGAGCTCGGGAAGGGTGAAGATGCGTAACATCCAGTGCTGGTCCCAGGCTAGTGCTAGGGAGGCGGTGCTGCTGATGATGGGGGCGAGACGGAGGAGAGTGAGAGGGTCGAATAATGCGCGGGATGCCATTTTGGTATGAGGTTGTGGCGGAGTGAGGTCGTGACTGAGTGAGGAGACAGAAAGTAGATAGAAGTGGTGAAACCATCTTGGCCGGGGTAAGCGGGGATAATATTTGCTACCTCAGGTATTGGCTGACCAACACGACGTAATTCCACGTTATCGGGAGAATGTCGAATGATTAAGTGGGTCGAATCGAGGGTGAGACGGGATAATTGTATTCCTTCGACGCACTCCTTCGGGACATCTGACCTATTTTCCATTCTCATTCCCCTGCCACCGAGAAGCGATCTTCGCAACGTCCCGACACAGGGCACAGAAGATGTCCGAATCATTTGCAATACGCTTGAGCACATTTTCAAAAACCTCGAGCTTCTCCTCGCTGGTTTGCAAGAAAGGATGGAATAGAATCGACAAAAAGCCCTCCTCTTCCAACGCAAGATCGATCTTGCTCATCAAGTGCTCCTTGAACTGAGCTGGCGTCATGACCTCCCTCTGCTTTCGAAACGCCTCTCTTTTATCATCGAATTTCTCCATGTAGTAGAAAGCGTCTACCTTAGGCCACTCCAATGGCAGTACAGTAATACCATTCAAATGATTGAACCACCGGAATTCATCGTCTACCGGAGAAATATATTCCAACCCTTTTTCTTTCATCAGATTCCACGAAGTACAATCTCCCAGCCCTCCCCCAGGCGGTCGAAACCCAACGTACTTGATCCCTGACGACTCAGCTATCCTGAAGCTCCTGGCCAGTTTGTCGCGCACCTCTCCTGGGGAAAGAGAAGCCCAGGGCTCGTGTTGGAGACCATGCCATGCAGCTTCGTGACCATGAGCGATGATGTCCTTGACCACGTCTGGATAGACGGCTAGGCTCCAGAACTCAATAAAGTAGGTGATGTTGATGTTGTACTTATTGAGCAGGTCGAGCATTCGTGGGAGCTGGTCGGTAACGGATGGATGACTGCCAATGGGCTTGTCCCAGGTTCCTTTGTAGACGTCTTGTGCTTCGCCGAGGTTGTCCAAGGTGAGGCAGACGGCTGCTTTCCGGGGACCGCGCCATTGTCCGGACCGGTCCATCGTGTTGGGTGGAGGTTTTGGGGGGATGAAAATAATCCTCTGCTTTCCGCAAATATCGTTGTTTGTATAAAAGGTGATCAATGGAGGTCAGAATTGATGGAGGTACTGGAATGCAAAGATCGCTTCCCGTGTAGTGTTCGGGAAGGAAGAAGCCCGCTGCCCCGCTCTCGGCAGTTCCTGGGCCGGCGACCCGCAGCACTTCGTACAGATATCACCAATAACACCCGTCTCGCCGCATTTACATACAATACATTGTACTTGATCAATTCACACATTTGGACTTGAGCTCGTAAGAAAAGCTTCATAGCTATTCCAGGTGATCGTTATATTATCACTATATCTACCTATTCGCGACTCCTGATACGGAACCAATCCCCTCAAAGGGTGGTTCCTGGTACTTACCAATCGAAGAATTGAAGGACAAACAGACAAACCAGAATCGCGTATCCAAACCCAATATGACGCAAAAAAAAAACATGGTAGAAACTCAGGGAAAGAGGTTACAAGAAGTGGAAGCAAACCTATCAACTTAGGCATAATAGTCCTCCTTCTCCTCGTCCTCCTTCAAATCCTTTGCCAACTGCCATCTCTCCTTGCCCTCCATCATCAAAGCATCAAAGTAACTCTTCTCTCTGGCAGCGTCAAAGGCCTCGGCCGCGTCCTTAATAAGCAAGTGAACAAGACGCTGAGGCCTCCACGCGTACTTCTTTGCTGCCGACGGCATCACCACTCTCGGATCAAAGTCCTTCTCGAGATGCGGCACGAGACCGGGGTACAAGTCGATACGCTCCCAGAACGCGGGATCCAGAAGCGACCGGACGGTAAACATGGCGGAATTGGCCCAAGCGACCGCGTCTTCGCCATCCATCGACTTGACCATTCCCGCGGGGAAATCGCACCGGTTCTTTCTACCCACCAGTTCCTGCCATTTCAAGGCGCCGCAGGACCCCTTGGGACACTGCAGCGTCGCGAGCAGGTCGGTCGTCTCTTGGACAAAGACGCCAAACGGACGGCCGCGATACAGGTCCACGGCGGTGTACGTTCCCTTGCAGAGGAAGAGGAGCTTTGTGGTCAGGCTTGCCAGCTCCGCTCCGTGCTTTTGCAAGAGCTCATCCTCTGAGTGCACGTATCTCGGGTCCATTCTGGACATCAGGTATTGGGCCAAGAACGAGCCCCATCCCCTGGTCAACACTCGATGCCACTTCTCGGGAGATCCCAGTGCCATCATGTAAGCCCGGGCTTCCGGTTTAAAAGATCGGGACTCGGACTTGTCGAGGCCGTAGTTGCTGGAGGCGGTTAGTCCGGCGTCTCTGAGCAACGTGTGCAAGGGGAAGACGCCTCCTAGAATGTGGCAGAGGGCGCGATCGGAGGCTCCGTAGACGAGTGCATGAAGTAATTCACGTTTACAGTCATAACAAATGTAGGTGGAGCGAGGATTAGTGTCGCGAAAGTGGCGGAGAATAAGAACGAAGGAGGAAGCGTTGTAGATGGAGAGGAGGAGGTTGTGGTTGGCTTCGGTGTCGATGCAGGACATGGTGGGCGATTGTTGTTTGGGTCCGGTGGGACGTTACCTTGGATAGTTCTTTGGGTTGTCGTTTGCGCTTGCTGGTGATGGTTGAATGGAAAGGTTCTGGATCAGGGGTTCCGGACCGGGGTATTTGTAGAAAAAATCATGTTGTTCATGTCTTTCATGTTTGGCTTCTATGGGCATTGTTCTCTTGGTAAAGTGCCGAGGACGTCAAGAGAGAAAGAGGGGTTGTGTAAGGCCTCTGTCTGTTACTCCTTTATCCCGATGAAAGAATTGCTCAGTCATAATGTATCTTCAAAGGATAGTCGGCGGGATAACATGTTCACTTCATAGGGACTGTTCATTGAAGTACTTCACAATGCCCAAGAATGGGGGCAGAGACTCGAGTGGTGCTGTTCCAAATCTCTGGCCCACTATGGTGTCATACGAGCTACTATAATCTCGGGTTAGCTTAATCACGGGTTGTTGACTTCAAAGAAACGACATGTATACACTTCAATCTTCATCTCCATTCACGGCTTTACTTGCAGAAGTCCACTTCAAGGTCACTTGGTAGACACTCCAAGATATCTTTGTAACGTCCGCCGCTGTTGAGAAGCTGTCTTTACATACCCATTAAAGTAACATTTAGTTCGGATATTTGAACTTTTATAATGGGCCCTACCAGTTGTTTATGACCTGAACGTCGATGCAACAGCTCGATGGGTTGACCGTCATTCTTCCGAGCCATGATGACAATAACGTATTTCCAGTTATAGGTATTGATGTTAGGAAAAGTTATTAACCAGTTTAAAATCAGCGCCAGTGGTTTAGTGGTAAAATCCATCGTTGCCATCGATGGGCCCCGCGTTCGATTCGCGGCTGGCGCATTTCTATTTCCAATTTTTTTTGTCCCGCTCTGTTTCCGCGCCCTTTCTTCCACCTCCTTTTTCTTCTTTTTGCTGATCGGGCATAATAACAACGACCACGTCTCTCTCCTCTCCATTCTTAATTTCCAATTCTTCGATTTTGCGGTATCTCTGAAAAGTGATTTGATTTGATTTGATTTGCCTCGGAATGAATGCAATCTCGTAGCGCACCAACCCGTCATCTCGTCGCGCATCAACAAGCACTGCACTCAAAGTCAGAGAGGAGGTTCTTGCAGTGCACAGGCCTTCATTCGTTGTTTTGTTTGTGTGCTTGTGGTGGGTGTAAAGCCACCACCAAAAGAGATGATACGCAACCAAATCGAGATTTTGGTTGTATTACTTTCAGTGACCAACCATAATCATCTTCACCAACGAATCCAGGGTTTTTTTTTTCACATGCTACATTCCAGCTGGCTGTGTTTCGACTTATCGTCGACGGCGATAGGGCCCCGGCGTTCATTCACCTTACTCCCGGGGCTTGCCCACTGACATCCGCTAGTGAGCGAGGTTACTCAACAGACAGACGGACCTGACCTGACCTGACAGACGTACATACATACATTGACTGGTTTTCAACAATGCTATCTATGCCGTGCTCATTTGTTGCAGGAACCGTACGGCAGACACGAAAAAAATGTTTCTCAAGAAGTTCAGCTCAGTCCATCCAGCCGCCGGCCGCGTCGTCGGAGATGAACGCTGCATTTTGGTCCAGAAATACTCAACTCCGAATGCCGTTGCGAAATTATCCAAATGCTTTTGTTTGAGTGAAGTTGTGTGTGTAACCAAGAGCGCGCGGATTGCAGCCAATCTTGTGATACCAAGACAACCAACCAGTCGAATCATCCTTGTAAGCCAAACGGGCGTAGGGTTGTTTTTGTTTTCTTTTCTCTTTCTTCCTTGCTCCCAGGGACATCGCTTAACTCACGCCTTGTCAGGTACGATTGACTGGTTACTGGCTGGGTGGTCGATTGTGCTGGGTATGGAAGTGTGAAGATGGAAAAGGAGAGAATAGAAAGTCAAGGTAAACCCATGGAAAAAAAGAAAATTTGATCCTATCATTGTCATCATCTTCGTCAAGGGCCCGATCCAGAGCAGCATACGTACTGGAATGCTTGTGGGGGAGAGATCGTTGTCTGCATGCTTGTTACTTTTACAGGAACAGGGGGCGGCCATAACAAGCAGAATTTGAGGTTATTCGGGTAACAAAACCATTGGAAGGATTAGAATTATACCTATCATGGCCGTGCTCCGGTTTGTCTGCACATGTTGATGATGCTGTTGTTTCTTTTGTTCTTTTGCTAATCCAGGGACGAACGCATGTGGAAATCGTCTTCCTCGATGACCAGTTCATGGACAGTTCAGACAAGATAGACCGGTGGAATCTCAAGGGGGTTTGAACTTGTTGGAGAAGCTGTGTCACACACACATCAACTGTCAAATGCTGTCGTGGTCGCCTGTGCCTGGTGTGGTAATTTGCTGTTGTGCATAACGGGGGGTTTGCTTAGTTCCAAACGTCATGCTTGTGTGATGGATGATATTACAACCCGGTAAGGTTACCCGATATGTGCTCCAAGCTGCTGGATCCGAACGGTGCGATGTACCACGTTTGCGAGGAGGTGATGAGGATGTGATATGAAGGAGGGTTAAAACCGTGACAAAAAGAAAGGAAAAGACTGATACGGACGAAGCAACGCAAAGATACCGTAAGCGGCTGAAATAAGGAAAATAGCAACCGTAAAACTGGAGGTGCAATCTTTTTGTTGCCGGCTTAGCCACGAACGGGGCCTCCCAAGTGACGCACAGAGCTCAAGCTAGGCTGTTTCGAACATGGACGATGCAACGCACTGCAGGAACATCATGGTGTGATGAGACTTCTCCGCAGATGGTGAGCAAAAATGATGCCATCTTCATCTTTTAACCAAATATGACAATTGGTTGGAGAGAAAGAGCCTCCAGCGACGGAGATGAAAATGTTGGCTGCATGACTGAAGTGTATGACAATTTGGACAGATTGCGGCTCCTTTCCCAGAGAACAGAGGCCCCGAGTATTCGAGTATCAGGAACTGCACGGAAGACCAGGCAACGAGTGTTAGACATATACTTCGGATAATCGGAATGAGACTTGGATCCCCTTTTGGGTCGTGATGGAGAATGATGTCGATCTAGCGGACATCAAAACAAGGAAATGCCAGTGATGGTCTTATTATCTGGACTTGGCTCGATCTGTCCACCGTCCCCTTTTGGACGAAGTATTTTTGATATCAGCGAATTGACCTGGAGGTAATAATAAAGAAGAGGTTTGAGGTAGGAAACAGTTCCTAAGAGTGGACACTCTGACACTGTACCGCCGGCACACATCGACATCGGCGGGCACCCTCCAGGGCCGTGGGCAGTGGGCACTTGCCCTGGGCCCGGCGGGATAGATGCAGGTTGGAGAAGTGGAAGTTGTGAACGGCGGCCTGTGGGTGTTCGGCCGTCCCAATCAATGGCCCCGCTCTCTCGTGTTACCCCTGGCCTTAGCGCAATGGAGGTGCTTCTGACCAATGGACAGTCGACTTCCCCTGTCTCCCTTTGAGGGCATCCCCAGCAAACCCCCCCCCACCTCACTGTCTGTGACGTCCATCAGTCTCTCTCTCACATGGCTTCAAAGTTGCCCTGCAATGGGGAACCCGAAACACCAAGGCGACTTTCTTTCTTCTCGGGGGAGTTGGTATTGGGGTTGCTTTGTCGAATGCGACAGCCTCCTTTCTTTGTCGTGGATTGTGTGTGGGTGGGTGTAGTTCAAGTTGGCCTCTCATTCGCCCGTCAGGTTGAATCACCAACGGCGCCGTCCATCCAATGCCCCGTTGCGGACACCATGTTTAACACGACTTCTTTATACCTTCCTCCCGTCCTCAGCAGCAACCATTTCGAGTCGGCGTCCCATGGCGATGGAACTGTGCACGGGGGTTGCCTTTGAGCCAAGTGTTTCTGGTTCCTGACTTTGAAGCCGGCAAAGGCGATTCTGCAACAGACATCCCCGTCACCTGCCCTTGCCCTGCCTCCCGTCCGTCTCTTTCTCATTGTTCCCGCAGGGTCATGATCAGAGAAACCAGCCTGTCATTGGGCTCCGAACCCTTTTTGAACCCTTCCTTCACTTTTGGATCCTCTCTTTCCTTTTCCAGTCTCCTGCTCCACCATTGACTACAATCCATGCCTTTTGGTCCCGTCCCCTCTTTACCTACCATCGACAACTGAGGTGAACTTGATAGTTTGAGACGGACCGCACATTTTCTTTTGGTACTATAACGTGCTTGTTTCGGCACTCAACTCGAGACACTAAAGACACTGTTCCGACACATAACACCTGCCCCCAATTGTTGGAACAAAGGCTATCTTGAGGACTTGGGGTCATCATCCTCCACTGTGTGGTGACGCGGTAATTTACCTCCACAGCTGCGCTACGGACGCAGGCGCCCCCGAACTGAAGCCAAACCCAAAGCATCGCCAGGTCCCGGGCTGGACTCCACCAGACTATACCGTATTTTGCTGTATCAAGCACTGCACCCACCACGGCACCGCTGCAACCACTTGCACAGTTGCACCTGCGATTTTTCGCTCCAAAGGGTTCCCACCCACGCGTTTCTTTCCCCCTCTTTTCCCTCTCCACAGTTTCACCTTCAACTCAACCTCTCTTGGTCTCTCCAGACCGATCGAGGCGGTCTCTCTTTTCACCTTCTTTCTACCTGCAGCGAAAGTCGAGTCGAGGGCGGCTTGACCACAATCGCATCGCATCGCATTCATTCATTGCCCAAAATTTCCCAAACTCCCAAATTCCCTGCTGCATTCTTGTGCATTCGTGCTGCACCAACCCCCTCCCCAGCGCGCAGTGCACGTCAAAGCAGGTCTCGCCCCCAACAAAGAAAAAGGCCCAAGTCCAACCGGAAGTTTTGCGCTGGGTCCCTCCCGCAATTCCAAGAGGAACCGGAACCCCGTCCAACGGTCCAACTATCCCATCGCACCAAACCCATCGGCCATCCAACGACCCAGGCCCCTAGCATTTGTCTACCTCACCTATAGACAACCAACAACACCCACCGTTTCGAACCGATCCGTCTCTTTATCCAAAGCACATCAACAAACCACGTCAACGCCCGCTTCCTTCCTTTTTCTCGAGTCGCATCGTTGCCATCACGGCCGCGTCCAGCTACAAGTCGACCGCCTCTCGCCATCCCCCAGCGACTAGACTGTGAGGCCCAATTGCTACTCCAACTTTGTCGACCTCGACCTGTCACGACGACATCCGCCTGCTCCCCTCCCCCGTCCGCTGCGTCGGCTACATCGACACTTGCTCCCGAGAGGATAATTATTGTGGCGCTCGCTGGACGACCATCGCTTTCGCTCCCTGCCGAAACCGTCTTCGTGCGACCTTTGTGGACGTCGACCGTCGCTCCTTTCGCAATCTCTTGGCACCCTAATCTCCATCAGCGTGTCCTAGCGGGACCACGCTTAAACGTCGAACCGACCGCAGTCGCGCGACCCATCAATCCTAAATACTTAATACAACAACACTCATTTCCGTCGGCGTTGCCTCTATCCGGCAATCGTTTCCATCAGGCCACGCGTCTGCCATTCTCGACACCTCATCGTCGCCCGCCAGATTTGCCAGAATGTCTGTGATGTTGCAGACACCTTCTCGAGCTTCTACCGGATCCAACTCTTCCTTCCAACCTCTTTCCCGACAAAACACCATGTCTTCCTACGAGGGCTCACGGTCCGCCCGCCAGTCCAAGCGGTACTCCATGTCGGCCTTGTACATGTCCATGTCCGCCAATGAGTCCGACCTCATAATCGAAGATGAGCTTGCTAGAGGTTGGCAGTCCCATGTGCACCAACTCGGTCGATGATACATACTAACTCTGGCCACAGCCCAAAAGGTCTTGCGGGACCTCAAGACCAAGATCTCTTCGCAATCGAAAAAGAACTTCGTGCTTGAGAAGGACGTTCGCTACCTGGACTCGCGGATTGCCCTGCTGATCCAAAATCGCATGGCTTTAGAAGAGGTATGCCGCCTAGGCGATTTCTTTCCCTACACAGCATGCTGACTCGTGTTACAGCAAAACGAAGTCGCTAGTCACCTGGAAGACGCAACCGATATACAAGAAGGCTCCTTCCCCAACGACGACAGAACACAAAAATACGGGAATTTGCTCTTCCTGCTGCAGTCCGAGCCCAGGCATATCGCGCATCTGTGTAGACTTGTCACCATGGCCGAGATTGATTCACTGCTTCAGACGGTTATGTTCACCATCTACGGAAATCAATACGAAAGCCGTGAAGAGCATCTGCTCTTGACCATGTTTCAGGTTAGTGTTGCCCTTCTCCTTAGGTCGTCACCTTGAAGGATTTGCTAACTCTGCCGTAGTCTGTCCTGACCTACCAGTTCGACAGTACACCCGAATACTCCTCGCTTCTTCGCGCCAACACCCCGGTCTCGAGAATGATGACGACATACACGAGAAGAGGTCCAGGTCAGACCTTTCTCAAATCAGTTTTGGCTGATAGAATCAACAGCCTGATTGAGCTCAAGGATCTAGACCTCGAAATCAACCCTCTCAAGGTCTATGAGCGCATGATCGAAGAGGCCGAAGCGAAAGACCCTGAGAGCCCCGAGGCAATGCTGCCCAAGGGAATTACGCAGGAAGAGGCCGCTGAGAACCCAAAGGTGCAGGAGATCATCAACCCGCGGCTGACAATGCTGACAGAGATTGCCAATGGTTTTTTGGAAACCATCATTGATGGTCTCGAAGAAACCCCATACGGAATTCGGTGGATTTGCAAGCAGATTCGGAGTCTGACAAAGAGGAAATATCCCGATGCCAATGACCAGGTCATTTGCACACTCATTGGCAGTTTCTTCTTCCTTCGCTTCATCAACCCAGCAATTGTCACGCCCAAGTCGTATATGCTCATTGACGGCATACCCGCGGAGAAGCCGAGAAAGACGCTTACCTACGTCGCAAAAATGCTCCAGAATCTGGCCAACAAACCCTCATACGCCAAGGAACCGTACATGGCGAAGCTACAACCTTTCATCCATGCAAACAAGGACAAGGTCAACCGATTCATGCTCGAACTGTGCGATGTGCAAGATTTCTACGAGACACTTGAGATGGACAACTATGTTGCCCTTTCCAAGAAGGATTTGCAGCTGGACATCACACTTAACGAGATCTACGCTATGCACGGATTGCTCGAGAAGCACGCTGGTGAGCTCTACAAGGATGAGAACTCACATCTGGCCATCATCATGTCAGAGTTGGGTCCTGCTCCACCTCAGGTGCCGCGAAAGGAAAACAGGGTCGTCAATTTGCCGCTATTCAGTAGGTGGGAAACGGCCATTGACGACCTGACCGCCGCCCTGGACATTACCCAAGAAGAGGTTTTCTTTATGGAAGCGAAGTCGATCTTCGTGCAGATCATACGAACAATCCCCGCGAATTCGTCAGTAGTTAGGAGGCCGCTGCGGCTTGAACGCGTCGCAGAAGCGGCTGCAACGTCCAAGAATGATGCGGTTATGGTCCGCAAAGGTATTCGGGCGATGGAGCTGCTAAGTCAGCTGCAGGAACTCAAGGTTGTCGACAAGAACGACCAATTCTCGTTGCTACGAGATGAGGTTGAGCAGGAACTTCAACATCTCGGCTCTCTCAAAGAAGTCGTTATGGCCGAGACTATCAAGCTCGAGGAGGTTTACAAGACCATCCGTGACCATAACGCCTATTTGGTCAACCAGTTGGACACTTACAAGAGCTATCTCCACAACGTACGAAGCCAGAGCGAGGGCAAGACCAGAAAGCAACAGAAGCAACAGGTGCTAGGCCCGTACAAGTTTACCCATCAGCAGCTTGAAAAAGAGGGTGTCATTCAAAAGAGCAATGTCCCTGATAATAGGAGGGCCAACATCTATTTCAACTTCACGAGCCCACTTCCGGGAACGTTTGTCATCTCGCTGCACTACAAGGGTGAGTCTCCGCAGTTGCCATCATTGATGGACATCACTGACAGTTCTGTAGGTCGCAACCGAGGACTCCTCGAATTGGATCTCAAGCTCGACGATCTCCTTGAAATGCAGAAGGACAACCAGGACGATTTGGACCTCGAATACGTGCAGTTCAACGTCCCCAAGGTTCTCGCGCTACTCAACAAGCGCTTCGCCCGGAAGAAGGGGTGGTAGACATATCACCCAGTCTGGCTTTACTTTGCGTTGCGAAGTGAAGGATTATATCACCATGAGGTTGATGTCCTTCACAAGGAGTTGGTGGAGTTTTTGCTTGGCGGTCTCTTCATCTGACTCTTGATACCACTTTCGTTTTGCGGTTCCCACTAGTTCACGTCGTTCACAATACCCATTCACCTACAAAACTGGCCTGGCCCGGATGAGAGGGGCAACGGGGTGGTCCCGCCTGACCTCCTCCGGCTTTCATCCCATCGGTCATCCCAACATCTCTGAATCATGGTCGTTTCTATTTGCGTATATATATGCACATAGTTAGCGAGCTGATGTTCCATCTCTCTTTTATCTTTGGTCGTTTTGGTTATACCTCCTGTCGTTTTACGAAACATTTCTTTTCACCTCGTTTTTACCGTCAATCATGCCGCTCTCGTTTTCAATGCAGGATCCACTTTTTGTGTTTTCCTCATGTACCTAATCATCTCTCGTATGTCTTCTGGCTTTTTGCTGTTCCTGGCTTTTCGCGGTATGGATTTCCCCCCTCTCTTACCATGCAACTGGAGGGGACTCGGCGGACGGACGAATTGGACGGACGAACGAACGAACGAACGAACAACGACACCCACGAAGAGTGATTTCGATCCCGCTCGGCTGGCCTGGCTTGGGATGGATTGAACATCATCTTTACGCATACTACATACTACTTACTACGTACTACTTAATAATCTGGAGGAGCGAGTCGAACAAAGGACGGGAAGCTGTGGGCGACACACAGGCACAGTTTCGAGGGGTTCGAGACGGGGTGTATGATGCCGGAGATGTTGGGCAAATGCGTTGAAACGGGGGGAATGGAGGCAAAGGAGCGAAGAGTTGAGAAAGCCCTGGGGCAAGGCGGGGAAGAAGGCGAAGGATGCGAATAAACTGGCGGAGCCGGTGATCAGAAACGAAAGATTCGAATGAGTTTCCTTTTTTATATCAGAGAGAAAAGCCGACGGCGAGGCTGCAATGATACCCACGTACGATTGGCTTCCTCACCTTTTACCAAAGAGGGTTGGTTCTAATAAGTTCGGCGGGTCCGCAGCGCAAGGCGCGCTGGACTGGGTGACGGGTCGGCCGGTTGTTGTACTTGGCTGACTGAGGAGGAATGAACAAATGTGGAAGAAGACTAGGAGGGTGGTTTTCGTGTCATGTTAATCTAGGGAAAAGTAACATTGGTCGACTTCCAAGTCGAGCTGGGATACCCTTTTTTTTTTACTCTCTCTCAGTTGTGTCTTGGGTTTCTAATCTTCTATACTCTCGCTGTATGAATTATGTTAAAACTGGGTTCTCAACTTTTTTTAGGCTGCGCTATGGAAAGGAGAAGTAAGGGTAGGTGAGTTGACACGGGAGAAGCGGAAATGTAGGAGACGGAAAGGGACGTGTTACAAGAGGGGAGAGGAGGATGGGGAGTGAAGAGACATTGGATGTATGTATACTACCTAGGTACTATCCGGGAAGATAGGCGTAAGATAAGCTCATCGCAGGTGTATGGGTTATCTACATTACCTCCCCGCAATGGTTCAGTCATCGTCTCGTCCTATGACAGACCTAGATGGATGCATGCCGTGGCCAATGTCGTGCCGCCCCTGGTACATTACTTAGGTACAGTACCACCTGTTAAGTGTTTGATCTGGGATGGCGATATATAAAATACCGGCCGGGGACGGACGTGTGGGGGCACCCTGGAAGCGAGAAACGTTATGTGTCTGGGGTAAACAGTGATCGAAACATCCATGATATCGAATGAGTATAGAGGATGTAGACATGTAAATACGTAGTCGAAATGCTCGGTAGCGCTCCGCGATGTTATCGTGACTCATGAGTTTCTTCAATCTGTAGTGGTGTACGGGAGGAAGTTATTCGGTGGTGGTCAGGCCCCAGGGGTCCTTCAACATCCACATGGGAGTCTGGACCACTCTTCGGCGCCTGAAGCACACTTGTCATCCGTCATTTGTATCATGGCCTGCGTGGGCTCATCTAGCTTTTTTCACTACTGCATGTCTCAGCCTCAGCCTTTTTACTTAGCTTCACCAGAGACTTCCATCATCACCCCATCCAATACACTAGACTTATCGTCCCGAAAATTTAAATTTGGTGATTCGAGCATTTCAAAACAACGACGTTCCAATCGCACCCCGCCGAACTGTCAAGGGGGAACTTGCCGTGAATGGGCAGAGGCCGGGACGAAAGTGAGCCCCGGCCCCCGGCTTCGGTTCCCACCGTCGACCTGTCGTCGAACCCCGCCGTGCAGCGTGCCAGGGCCCGCTAAAAAGCGTTCGGCTGCAGCAGGCCACAGCAGCAGGGCAGCAGCCTAACAGGGCCCCGATGGACCCGGACGTCCCCGCAACGGCCCGGGTAGCCCGCTACTTCTCTACCTTGTCTTTGGGGGTTGCCCAGCCTGCCGGCCTGCGTTCATCCCCCCCGCCATTCCATCCAATTTTCATCCCACCAGACGGGACCAGACGGCAAAATCATAAGCGCCGACAACCCGACATGTTTCGATACGAGGGAGACGATCGCGATGCCAACTCTCGATTTCTTAATAACAGCAATATTGACAGCCCGCATTTGAAGGAATGATCGACGTTGCTCATCCCTGCTGCTTGACGTCTGAAGAGACTGATGGTTGTTGAAAGAGTAGATGACGAGCGTGTAGAGCAAAGCGGGGTGATGTGGCTTTCATCCGGTCTTCTTGTTCTTTGTCTGCCGTCCGTCTGGTGTCTCATCTCGTCAAAGCAAAGCAGGTTCGTCCGATTGGATCGAGCTTGTCCGGATGGAAAAGAAACATGAGACGAGGCGGCAAGACGGGCCTTGATAGTGAGTACCTGACTACCTCTACCCAGCTCTATCTCTACATGGGGTGGCTCGACGTGCGGGCACACATGAGATAAGCAGTGAGCAGACAGCTAGCTAGCTACTAGCTCCCCGCCACTGAAAACGAAGCTCCCCCTGTCTGAAGATTCCCCAAGACGACGAACCTCTGAGGAAACGATATCCCCACACCATGCTCAATCCGACGAGATGGTTGGTTCAACATGAGGCCGTTGAGATTCCATTGGAGGATTCCTTGCAGTCGTTAGCATGCGATCTGGATGCTCGATGCTGTTATTAATGGTGGTAGATACCTAGGAACGATGCCGGGAATGCCGCCCTGTCAAAGTCCCCAAAAGTCATGTCACCCAATTCTCTACATACGCGAATCAATGGCATAGGTGACCCACCTTCCGTCATCGTTCAACATCAGACCACCTCTTCCCCATTCTCTCGACCCCCAGCCATTTCAGCCATTCAACCCGTGCTCACCTCTCCCAGATCTCCCGGTTACTGCGATAATGGCCTGTTATGATCCTTGGCACTGGGACTGGAAGCCCTTCTCGCGCTTCCAAATTCCCAAGAACAGGTTACTTTGAATGCTCCCTTCAGCATCCTTCAGTGGCTTATCGTTGGACAGACTTTGTCGTGCCAGGGTGCTGGGTATGGGGTCCAATGCGATCCAATGCGATCCATGGATTGCTACCCCTACCGTCAAGCAGCAACCTGTCCGCGTACGGGTCGAGTAACGAGGTTCCCATGAGAGGGCCGATATAGCAATGATTGACTTGAGACCGACACGGAGTTGTGCCCTTTTCGTCGTCCGACACCATGAATCCCGCATGGTTTGGGACTCTCGTGAGGAGAAAGGCAAAAGCCAGGTGGCCAAGGGTAGGTTGAGGTGCCAAGTATAGGCACACCACTCGTCACCACACACCTCGTGGCTCATGCTGTGTAATACTACGATGGGAGAGGGAGGGTGGTTGCTATAAGAGACAATGCCCTCCTGGATGCTTTCATTTTCGGTTCTACCCCTCCTTCGATCATTCTCAACATCATTCCAAGTGAAACCCCAGACACCAACCGAGGGTTTCTTTCTCTTAACCACCGAACAACACCTGGCCACCTGGTTGGGTACTTGCTTTACAACGCTACACAACATACCTCCTCTTGTTCGTACAGCTCCAGCGGGAACTTGCCCAGCATGAGTGATTCGAATGAGGTCGAGGTCGAGAGCATCAGCCCCTATGGGCTAGCTCGCTCGACAATCAAGGGAGAACCCCTTACCAAGGAAGAGATCGAGAAGTACAACGACTTCTTCAAGGCCAGCTTATATCTCAGCTTGGGCATGATCTATCTCCGCGAGAACCCTCTTCTCAAGGAGCCTCTCGACACAAAACACCTCAAAGCCCGTCTCCTCGGCCACTTTGGCTCCGCCCCCGGCCAAATCTTCACATGGATGCACTTCAACCGTCTGATCAAGAAGTATGATCTCGACTCCATCTTCATCTCCGGCCCTGGCCACGGTGCGCCCGCCGTTCTGTCGCAGGCATACCTGGAGGGCACTTATAGTGAGGTGTATCCAGACATGGCTGAAAACGAGGAGGGCATGCAGAAGTTCTTCAAGCAGTTCTCCTTCCCCGGCGGAATCGGCTCGCACGCCACTCCTGAAACACCAGGCAGCATCCACGAGGGTGGTGAGCTGGGTTACTCCATCTCCCACGCCTTCGGCGCCGTCTTCGACCATCCCAACCTGATCGCCCTGACCATGGTGGGTGATGGCGAAGCCGAGACCGGTCCCCTAGCGACATCGTGGCACAGCACAAAGTTCCTCAACCCCATCACCGACGGTGCCGTCCTCCCCGTCTTGCATCTGAATGGTTACAAGATCAACAACCCTACGATCCTCGCCCGCATTAGCCACCTCGAGCTGGAGAACCTGTTCCGCGGCTACGGCTACGAGCCATACTTCGTCGAGGGCGACGATGTCGATACCATGCACCAGGCTATGGCCGCAACGCTGGAGCACTGTGTCCTGGAGATCAGGAAGTTCCAGCAGCAGGCCAGGGAGTCCGGCAAGGCCTTCAGGCCCAGGTGGCCCGTCATCATCCTCCGCAGCCCCAAGGGATGGACGGGTCCGCGCAAGATCGACG